CCTCCCACCGAGGGCCCGGTTGAGACAGGCCCTGGGACCTGGCTGCCAACACCGACCTCAGCACAGTGGAGGTTTGGAGCAGGGGAGTCTGCCTTGGGCGCGGAGCTGTCCTGGCCACCCGGCACACAGCCCGGGGCTGCACCTGCCACCCCATGCCAGCGGCCGCCCCTCCCCGAGCTGTGACAGCTCAGTCTCCAGCCACTGCCAACCACCTGCCAAGGGCAGCACCTCCCGCAGCGGCGAACGGCTGCCCGAGGGAGCCCCGGTGGAGCCGGAGGTTGGGGTTCGTGAACCCCTGGGGGTGGGTCGCACGGGGACAAAGTCAGCTTGGAACCGGGGGTCTCTAAAGCCCAGGTTCTTTCCAGCCGTGGTTTGTCATGTCTAGGTCTTTCTAAAGCAGCATTGTCCCCTTTGCAACCAGCCCCCGGAGCCCCGGTTTTAACACCGTTTTGTAGAGGAAAGTTGGAACCCCCCGAAACACCCCCCACCTCCGACCTCTGCCAGGGCCCCAGTGGGGCCCGGGGTCAGGCCACCGTCGCGGGTCACTCAGGGCCCCTTGCCCAGCAGAGCCCAGAGGGGTCACTTTCTGGCTCTCCACGCCCCTCCCAGAGGGCAGGGAGACCCCACCCCATCCCGTCCCTGACGACTGCTCTGATCCAGCCTCTCCGGGACAGCAGCCGCGTCCGGTTCTGGTTTGGATTTGCCCTGGTCTGTTCCTTATTAGTCACCGTCTGCAGCTGCGGCTCCCCCCTCGGCTCCCCCAGCCCCGGGCGAGGCTCCAGGGCCCCAGAGTGCCCCCTCCCCCACAGCAAGGGCTGTGAGCCAGCTCTTCCGACGGGCAGCTCCAGGCGAGCTCTGGCCCCGGCGCCGAGCACCGGGCTGGCGCAAGCAACGACCACTGCGTGTGAGACGCAGACGGCAGCCAGAAAAGACGGAGGCGGCCCCGAGCCGGGAGAGCTTTATTGGAGCAAACGGCAGCGCACGGTGCCCCGGCACGGAACCCTGGGAACATGCGTTTCCTCCTGTCAGCCAGGCGGCCTCATCAAAGCGCGGCCAAGGTTTCAGAGGCTTTTATTTAATATCCAGAAATCCAAAGTGAGCGTGGCTTTAAACAATTAAAAAGACAATAAAACACTGGCCCTCGGGGGTGTTGGGGGGAGGATTCGGTTGCTTAAAAATAAAACAGCTCTGTGCTGCAGCCAAGGAGGGCACAGCGGGGCCCCGCTCGGCGCTTGCATAACGCTGGCCAGTTGTCACGGGGGCTCCAGGGCTGCAGGCAGCTCCACGCCAGTGGGCACCCTGGCTCAGGGACCGAGCGGAACCCCGCCACTGCCCGACCCCCGAGGCTTTCAGCCAGCCTCAGGTCAGAGAAAAACAGCCCCCCGAGAACGTGGCGCCAGGGGACCAGGACCTCCGCGAATCAGGAACCACGGGAGGGCTAAGCCGCCGCCCGCGATGCTGGCCCCCCAGTCACAGCGCAGGTTCAAGCCCCGGCTGCCCTGCCCCGTTCCAGCTCCCTGCTTATGTGCATGGGAAGGTGGTAGAAGACGGTCCAAGTGCCTGGGGCCCTGCCACCCACGTGGGAGACCCTGGCTTCAGCCCGGCTCAGCTCTGGCTGTTGCAGCCATCTGGGGAGTGAGCCAGTAGGAACCCTGGCACTGCTCAGGGTGGGCAAAGCAGAGCTGGCCCTGAGTCTCGCCTCCGCCCGGCCCCGGCCACACCATGGGCTCCGGCTGGAACTGGAGGTGCAGGCAGAGCTCCGAGGTGAGGGAGCCCCGAGGGGGCCCTCCTGGGAGCCACTTGGATGAGAGATCATATCCGTGCCCATCTCCCTTCCCCACCGCCTCAGCCCTCGAAGCACAGATGGGCAGGATGCGGGCGAGAGGCCGGGGCTGCCAGGAAGGCTACACCCCCCCACCCAGGAGCGGGCGGGCACAGGACGGGCTGGAGCTGCCCGCCGCAGCCGGACACCAAGGCCCGTCCCTGTCCCCACACCCTTGGGGTGAGCAAGGCAGGGCCTTGAGCTGGCCCGGCTCCAGGTTGCTGTGTCTGTGCGCGTGCGGCACAGACGGCACAGGCAGTTCGAGCCGCGGATATTTTGTCACCGTGGCTCTTTAATGTCACAGCGTCCCGCGGGAGCCGCCGTAATACCGTTTTAATTATTTCTCGCCCCTGCTGGCAAAGCCACCTCCGTCAAAAAGGCTATTTTGAACCCATCCCCAGCCTGGCAACAGCACAGGGCTGAAGGAGCATATTCAAGTGTTCTCTGCAACTCCGTGTTGGCATCCGACGTAACGTTAGCCAGCACCGGGCTGTGGCGGGGGGAGGGGCCGGCGGTGAGCAAGGCCAAGGGGGCCCCAGGGGCCGGCCCAGCACACGCAGCCGATGCAATCCTTGATCCTCCTCAGAGCCAGGGCAGCCAGGGCAAACGAGCCCCAGCGTCTTTGACAGAGAGGCTGCTGGGGGTCTAGGGAGAAAGATGCGAACGCTTCGTGTCCGGCTGCCCACCCGCCTCGTGGGTCCCCCCCAACTCCCCAGGCTGCGGTCCTGGCCCTGACAACCAGGATGAGGTCAGGCGGGGGAGTCACACCGGGCACGCCCGGGGTTCTCAGGAGAGACCAGGCCCCGGCACAGCACGCGGGGAGGAGTGGCACCCACTCCTCCACCTCGGACTTCCTGGTAGACGTGGCCACCCACGGCCCTCGGGGAACCCACACGACCCCCTCTTCCCAAGTCCCCCGCCGCACCCAGTCCCACTCAGGAGCCGGGAAGGTTCTGTCGGCAGGTGCACTCCAGAGCCAGGTCCAGAGAAGCAGCCCAAGGCCGCCCCAGCGCACCGCGCACAGGGAGGGAGCCGGCGGCTGGGCCCCGGGCCCGGTGCGTGTGCAGAGGCCCCACGTGATACAGCAGCGAGGTGCCAGGAGGGGCCGGGGCCACAGGCGGACACACACGTCACCTGTGGGGCTGCAGGTGCACAGCGTGACTGCACTGGAACGGCCTTGCCCCCCAGGGGAGCCCAGCCCGGGAGACGCAGGGCGGCGGGGTGGGACGCAGGGCGGCGGGGTGGGACGCAGGGCCGCGGGGTGGGACGCAGGGCCGCGGGGTGGGACGCAGGGCGGCGGGGTGGGACGCAGGGCCGCGGGGTGGGACGCAGGGCGGCGGGGTGGGACGCAGGGCGGCGGGGTGGGACGCAGGGCCGCGGGGTGGGACGCAGGGCGGCGGGGTGGGACGCAGGGTGGCAGGGTGGGACGCAGGGTGGCAGGGTGGGACGCAGGGGGCTTGCTCGTCCTCGGATCTCAGCAGGGCCTCTAACACAGCGCTGATGTAATTCAGGCGAAGGGGCTGAGGAGCCTGGGCGGGACGGGGCTGGGTGGGGGCGGCCGCCGGCGCCCCTCACTCCACGTTCTTGTACTTGGTGAAGAGGTTGTACAGGACCCTCAGGGTGGACTTCAGGTCCAAGTTCACCACATCTGCAGAGGAAAGAGGCACGGTCGGTGTGATGTGATTTCAGGAGCCGGCCGCCCAGTCCGAGTCACGAATGACCGCTGGCCACCACGTCCAGGACGCCCCGGACAGCGCCACCCTCAGACACACGGGCTGCAGCCAGCGGTCCTGGGACCTGCCACAGGACGGGCCCCAGCGCCTCTGCGTGTGTGACGGGGGAGGGGCGTCAGGGACCCGCAGCTCCCCTGTGAGCCTGGGGGGGGGAGTCAGACACCCGGTCCTTCCCCTGGTGTGACCTCAGGCCGGTGCCTCCACCGAGAGCCACCCCTGGCTGCACCCCTGCAGGTAACCACCGAGGGAGGCTGCTGGGTGCGGCCCTTCTCATGGCCAAGCCACAGCGACTCCAGGTTCCCAGCTGGCAGAACTGGGGGGAGCTGACGAAAGGAGACTAAGACCCCTGTGGGCAACGGCCAGGCCCCCGCCCATGAGTGAACCCCCAGAGCAAACCAGAACCAAGCTCAGGGTACCCAGGGGCTGCGTCAGCAAACCCAGGCCTCCCCAGCTTGCAGGATCCACGCCAGCTCCCTGACAGCCCAGGCAGGCGGTAGGAGACGGTGGGTGGTGGCCACGGAGCCAGCGGCAGGGGCGGGAGCAGGCAAACACCCTGGAGGCCACCGTGCTGCCCTCTGCCCTCGTCGCCCGGGGAACAAAGCCGGACACTCAAGAATCCCACGGTACCAGTGACCACAGCCAGCCCGGGAGTCCCATCCGGTGACCTGGGGGCCACAGCCCTCTCCCGTGCGTCCTGAACGCTCGCCCGCTCGGCCCTGGGACCGTGAACAAGGTTCTTTCCAGCAAAGGCCCGCCGAGGGCAGCGTGGGAAGGGCCTGGCCCTGGCCCCTGGCCTCCTGCAGGCCCCCTCCCAGGGGACCAGGGTGACCCACGGGAGCCAGGAGCAGGCCTGGCTCAGCCCTCGAGGGCCCCCACCTTGGACCCACCTCCTGCAGAGGCGTGAGCCTGCTTCCCCCAACACACAGACGGGACACTGACGGGGCAGCTCGACCTGAGCCTCCCGTGACCCTGTGAGGCAGGTGCATCGTCCCCCAATCCCCCACCCCCCAGTGAGGTGTCCTGGGCACAGAGAGGTAAAGGAGCCTGCCCAAGGAGACACAGCCAGGGAGAGAAGAGTGGAGCCTGCGCTCACAGCCCCTCCCCCACGCCCTGACTGACGCTTGCGCCCTTTGACCCCACACTGATGGGCAGTGTCCGAGCCAGGCAGGCAGTGGACAGAACCCTGGCTCCCCCGCGGCTTCTGTTCTTGGGGGAGGCGGGAACAGAATCCACAAACAGCCACACACACGCTGACATGGGCGGGCATGGAATCCCCCAGGAACCCCGAGAGGGGGGTGGGGGGCGGGACCAGCTAGGAGCAGTGGGTGGACGGGGAGGGGCTACAGCGGGTGGGCAGAAGGGAGGGGACCCCTTCCAGGGATCTCAAAAACTGGACAGACCGTGCTGCTGAGTGGATGTGGGGGAGGGGTAGGTAGAAGCTTCGCAGGCTCCACCCACTCAACCCCACCCACGGGCCCACGGGCACTGAAGCGTGCGTGGGGGTCCTGCGGGGTGGTCTGTGTTGCCCAGATCATATGGACACGGACGGCTACACACAGGACTTATCAGTGCCTCTATCATTCACCTCTGCCATGAGCTTTCTAGACGGGCTCGCGGGCAGTGCCGTCCACGCTGCAGAGACCCAGGGCACGGCTGGCAGACGCGGCCACCACGCGCAGAGACTCTCAAAGCGCTATTCCCAGACGAGCACCCCCAGGGACACCGGGAACCGAGTTCCGGGCGCACCCCACAGCCCCAGACGGACCTGGGCTCTCAGGAGCCCTCCTGGGATTCTGATGTGGCCCCAAGGCACAGACCCGGGTCACGAGCCGTGGAGGGAGGGAGGGCCACCTCTGGCCCCCGCCACCCAGACCCACATGGAGAGGAGGGCGGGCTCCCCGCCCCCAGGCCCTCATCCCGCAGCTCTGACGCCCTCTCAAGGCACAGAAAGCTTTTCCAGTCCCAGTGACACCTGGAGAGACACCCAACGCTCTGGGCAGAGGCCACGCCCTTCCGAGTCCAGTGGCCGCCTCAGAACCACTGCTGCCAGCGAGGCCTCCCACTCCCCAGGACAAGGACAAAGACGCGCTGGGGCCAGCAGAGACCCGGGACGTGGGGCCAGCAGAGACCTGGGACGTGGGGCCAGCAGAGACCCGGGACACGGGGCCAGCAGAGCCCGGGGATGCGGGGCCCATGTGGGAGGCGCCACGTTCGGCCCTCCAGACGGCCCTGCGTCCCTCCTGGGGCCTGGTCGGGGCGTTACCTTCGGGACGGGCCTTGGGTTTCTTGAGCCCTGCGTCCAGCATCAGCTCGAAGGCGAACGCCACATTGTGCACCTGCCACGGAGGAAGGGGGAGCGTCAGGGTCGGGCGGCTCCCCCACGCCAGGCCCTGCACCACTTCCAGGACGAGGGTGGGTGCACAGAGGCCTGAGCCTTTGGGACAGCCAGGACCACGGGAGCCCAGGGCTGGGCACAGAGTCGGAGGGCGACATAATCACAGTTCCCACCCCCACACGGATCTGGGATTGACAGGTGCGAGGTGCGTGGTCCACCCTCGAGGGCTCACGGCCCCGAGCACCTGCTCTGCCCAGACCTTGGCCACACGATGCTGAGTGACAGCGACCCCTTTACAGATGGGGAAACTGAGGCTCGCCGAGCCCCTTGCAAAGGCGTCCAGCCCTACACAGAGCGCCCTGACAGCTGCAGGAAGTGCTGTTGGGAGCCGGGTGTGGAGGGAACAGGGGACGAGGCCAGCGGCCAGGCTGTCTCTGCAGGACCTGGGGCTCCTGGGTCTGGGCAGGTGCTGTGGACACTGAAGTCAGGCCGATGGCGGCTGCCAGGTGGGGGGCTGCATTGGGGGAGGGCGGAGCATAGTTCCCTGCCCAGGGAGCCGATGCAGCCTGGTAGCTGCTGGGGGCCCCGTGTGACTCCACTCAGCCTGAGCCTACTCCCCGCCCCCGCCCTGCCCGGGGCAGGTACAGCATCCCAGCTCCGCGCTGCGCTGATAGGACAGAGGGCACCAGCATCCAGACATGCAGGGAGGGAGGGGACAGCACTGGAGCACACGGGAGTCTGCACGCGGGGTCTGGGTCTGTTCTGTAGGACCCCCGTCTCTTCCCCACCAGGGATGCCGGGCCCCACCGGGGGACCACGCCCTGGCTCCCCTGCCCCCTGCCGACACCCAAATGCTCCAACCCCATCTGTAAAGTGGCACAGACCCTCCCGAGGCCCCATGGGCTGATGCCCACGTCCCGTCCTGGAGTGCCTGTCCCACTTCCGCCCTCCGATCCAGCACCCTGCTCATGCGCCTGGGAAAGCAGTGGAAGATGACCCAAGGGCTTGGGCCCCTGCACCCACGTGGGAGACCTGCAGGAAGCTCCTGGCTTCGGGTTGGCTCAGCCCGGCCGGGCACTGGCCACTGGGGCCACGTCAGGGAGTGAACCAGCAGACGAAGATCGATCGATCGATTTCTCTCCCACCCTCCTCTTTCAAATAAATAAATCTTAAAGAGAGAGACAGAGAGACAGAGAGAGGAAGGGGGGAGGGAGGAGGGAGGAAGGGAGGGAACAGACCGGCCCACTCCTCCACCTGTCTCCGGAGACTGGAGGAGCCTTTTGCCCAGCCAGGGGGCGACGAGCAGGGGGCCGGGTTAGACGAGGGCGCTCGGGGAGAGACAGCTCCTGCCAGCTGCCCGGGGCGCTGAGCGGCCACTACGCCCCATGGAGACCCCGCCCCCGCAGCCCCTCCCGCAATGGTGGCTGGCTCTGCCCGGCACCTCTGGGGCCACGCCCCCCACCCGTCAATCTGCCCCACAGCACAGGCTTGGAGACCCCGGCAGCCTCAGCGCAGGAATCACCTAACAAAGGCCAGGGATCGGCTGAGCTGACCACGGGAGGCCCCTGCCAGCCGCACAGCTCTTTCTGGAATCTTCCTCCAGAGGAATCTCGTGTCTCGGTGCTCTGCCTGCACCGTGAGGGGCCCTGGGGGCCGGCCCAGAGGGCCACGACCAGCGGCTTTCACACAAAAGCCACATCTGCACCCAAGCGCCCGCTTGTTCATGTGGAGATGGGAACCTGCAGGGCCCGGACGTCTGCTCTCACGCTTTCCTAAGATTCATTTTTATTTTAAAGGCAAAGTTGGGGGTGGGGAGGAAAGGAGAGGGAGGGGGAGAGGTCTTCCATGCGCTGGTTCACTCCTCAATCGGCCTCAATGGCCAGAGCTGTGCCGATCCGCAGCCAGGAGCCAGGCGCTTCCTCCAGGTCTCCCACGTGGGTGCAGGGGCCCAAGGACTCGGGCCATCTTCTACTGCTTTCCCAGGCCACAGCAGAGAGCTGGGTGGGAAGTGGAGCAGCCGGGACTTGACCTGGTGCCCATATGGCTTCACCACTATGCCACAGCGCCGCCCCTCGTTTTTTTTTAATCCAATGCAATTGTTCAAAAACCGAACTCATCAATCACTACACTCGAGGGGGCAGCTTGTGGGGCTGCTCGGTCCTCCCACCGGCCCTGGGTCTGCCACACGGACCCCAGGGCCAGAGCGGAGGCCCCAGCCCAGGCTCAGTCCCAGACAGCGGGAGACCCAGCCAGCTGCCCTGAGACAGAGTACAGCCTCCCTTCACGGGCTCCCAGGGAACATTCTGTGGCTGTCACTGCGGCCGTCGCCCCACAGGGAGAGAAAAGGGGACGCAGGCCTGGGGGCCGCGCGGGATCCTGGCCAGGATCCTGGACTGTCCCCAGGACAGCGTCCCAGCCCGCGGGGCCAGGCCACCCGGGGGGAGGCCTGTCTGGGAAGGAACCCAGCCCCCAATGATGCTAAACACCGCTTCCGGTCTGGACCAGGAAGGGAGCCCTGGCACGGCGGGCCCCCAGGCACGCAGGGGCCTGGCCGTGTGGGGACCCCGCTTCCCTCGGGGCCTGCTCAGGGCTGCTCAGGCCCCCCGGCCCCGCCTCCGTCCAACAGGGACTGCGCGTGCCAAGGCCTCTCCAATGCGTCTGACCCACCCCAGCAGGCAGGACGGGAGCGCCGCTTGGCCACGACAGCGGCCGCCGGTGCCAGGAGCGGCCAGATGGACGCGGCTGTCTGCCTCCCTGACTCACGGGTCTGGCACTCTGGGGAAATGAACGACAGACGCCCGCGAGTCCGAAGCAACACAGGCCGCCAGCGCCACGCTTTGGAAAGGGGCCCTCGGTGGCCGCTGCGCCGGGCTCGCGGGCGGGGAGCCCCCGGGGGGGGGCCGGGCGCTGGGGGGGCCACCCCAACCAAACCGCCAGTCCAAGTCGGCTCTGTCTTCCCTGGGAAATCCACAGATCAGCTCTGGTTGCATTCCCCAAGGTCCTTCGGGCCTCCTCGGATGAGTGCGTGTGTGTGAGTGTGTGTGGGCGTGTGGGCGTGTGAGCGTGTGAGCGTGCTGTGTGTGAGGTGTGACAGTGTGGGGTGCACGTACCAGTGCATGTGTGTGTGCGCAGGGTGCTGTGTGTGTGAGTGCATGTGTGTGCACATACATGGGTGCTGTGTGTGGGTGTGTGAGTGCACATGTGTGTGTGAGTGCACACGTGGGTGCTGTGAGTACATGTGTGTGTGTGAATGTATGGGGTGCTATGTGTGTGTGCGCAGGGTGCTGTGTGTGTGTGAGTGCATGTGTGTGCACATACATGGGTGCTGTGTGTGGGTGTGTGAGTGTGTGTGTGTGTGTATGTGAATGTATGGGGTGTTGTGTGTGTATAGGGTGCTGTGTGTGTATATGTGTGTATGGGGTGCTGTGTGTGTGTGTGAGTGCACACATGGGTGCTATGTGTGGGTGAGTGCATGTGTGTGTGTATGTGTGTATGGGGTGCTGTGTGTGTGAGTGCACACGTGGGTGTGTGAGTGCATGTGTGTGTGTATGTGAATGTATGGGGTACTGTGTGTGTATGTGTGTATAGGGTGCTGTGTGTGTGTGTATAGGGTGCTGTGTGTGAGTGCACACGTGGGTGCTGTGTGTGTGAGTGCATGCGCGTGTGTGTGAGTGCATGTGTGTGTGAGTGCACACGTGGGTGCTGTGTGTGGGTGTGTGAGTGCATGTGTGTGTGTGTGAGTGCACACGTGGGTGCTGTGTGTGGGTGTGTGAGTGCATGCGTGTGTGTGTGTGAGTGCACACGTGGGTGCTGTGTGTGTATGTGTGTGTAGGGTGCTGTGTGTGTGAGTGCACACGTGAGTGCTGTGTGTGTATGTGTGTAGGGTGCTGTGTGTGTGTGAGTGCACACGTGGGTGCTGTGTGGGTGTGTGAGTGCATGCGTGTGTGTGAGTGCACACGTAGGTGCTGTGTGTGAGTGCATGCGTGTGTATGTGTGTGCACACACGTGGGTGTTGTGTGTGTGAGTGCATGTGTGTGCACATACATGGTGCTGTATGTGGGTGTGTGAGTGCACACGTGTGTGTGCAAGTGCATGGGGTATTGTGTGTGGATGTGTGAGTGCATGTGTGTGTGTATGTGAATGTATGGGGTACTGTGTATGTATGTGTGTGTAGGGTGCTGTGTGTGTGCGTGAGTGCACACGTGGGTGCTATATGTGGGTGTGTGAGTACATGGGGTGTTGTGTGTGTGGGTGTGTGAGTGCATGTGTGTGTGTATGTGAATGCATGGGTGCTGTGTGTGGGGGGGTACTGTGTGTGTGAGTGCATGTGTGTATATGTGAATGTATGGGTGCTGTGTGTGTGAGTGCATGCGTGTATGTATGTGAGTGCACACGTGGGTGCTGTGTGTGGGTGTGTAAGTACACGTGGGTGCTGTGTGTGGGTGTGTGAGTGCATGCGTGTATGTATGAGTGCACACGTGGGTGCTGTGTGTGTGTGTGAGTACACGGGGGTGCTGTTTGAGTGCATGCATGTGTGTGTGTGAGTACACACGTGGGTGCTGTGTGTGGGTGTGTGAGTACACGTGGGTGCTGTGTGTGTGTGAGTGCATGCATGTGTGTGTATGTGAATGTATGGGGTGCTGTGTGTGTGTATAGGGTGCTGTGTGTGTGAGTGCATACGTGGGTGCTGTGTGTGTGTGAGTGCATGCGTGTGTGTGAGTACACGTGGGTGTTGTGTGTGGGTGTGTGAGTGCATGTGTGTGTGTATGTGAATGTATAGGGTGCTGTGTGTGTGTGTGTGTGTGTGTAGGGTGCTGTGTGTGGGTGTGTGAGTACACGGGGTGTTGTGTGTGTGGGTGTGTGAGTGCATGTGTGTGTGTATGTGACTATGGGTGCTGTGTGTGTGAGTGCATGTGTGTGTGTGTATGTGACTATGGGTGCTGTGTGTGTGTGTACAGGGTGCTGTGTGTGTGTGAGTGCACACGTGGGTGCTGTGTGTGGGAGTGTGAGTACCCGGGGTGTTGTGAGTGGTAAGGGAGGCGTGCACCCAGTCAGCCCTCCCATCTGTGGGCTCAGACACGCAAGCACGGGAACTGCTTCGGGGAGAATCCGGCCTCCGGACTGAACGTGCACAGCCGTCTCTGCCACCGTCCCCCGACGCCCGCGCAGCAGCCGCGAACACGGCAGGTGCAGCGCTGGGCGTCGCGGGTCTTCCAGGACGATTCAGTGTGCGCGGCAGAAGCACCACACGGCGCCCCGCAAACACGCGACACGTCTACGCGCCGACTTAACAGAAGACAGCGCTGAGGACCCCCCACCAAAGCACTGACGTGGACAGGAGGATCTGTGCACGCGCCGTCCCCTCACGGAAGGGGCTCGGCGTTCGGGGACCCTGAAGCCAGCCCCCCGGGTCCCGGGACCGCGCACTCGGTCCAGAGGAAAGGATAGAACGAATCACCCACGACGGGGGACAGGGAAACGGCCACCAGGGCCACCGCGTGGGACCGCAGACAACAGTGACGTGGCAGGGCCGGTGGGCACGAGCACAGTGGGGGAGGCGCTGGGGCGCGGTGGGGCACCGCACGCCCTGAGCACCTGCCTGCATTCCGGGCCCGGGGAGCACAGGCCGCCCACCTACCCAGGGAGCACGGGGCCGCGCACCTACCCAGGGAGCACAAGGCCACGCACCTACCCGGGGAGCGCGGGCCGCGCACCTACCCGGGGAGCACGGGCCGCGCACCTACCCGGGGAGCACAGGGCCGCGCACCTACCCGGGGAGCGCGGGCCGCGCACCTACCCGGGGAGCACGGGGCCGCGCACCTACCCGGGGAGCACGGGCCGCGCACCTACCCGGGGAGCACGGGGCCGCGCACCTACCTTCTGGTCGAAGCTGTCCGGCGTCAGGTGGAAGTTGTGGAGAGGGACAAAGTAGCCCTCGAGGAGCCCCATGAGAAGGACCAGGTACACGCCATCTGCAAACTGCACAGGGACACCGGTGCCGGGTCAGCCGCCTGCGGGAGGCGCCCGCTCTGCACCACCTGGAGAGAAACGACCCCTCCCTCCTCTCCCCGCGGAGTCTCTGGAACCCAGCTCCCTGCACCGACAGCACAGGGTGCCAGGCCCCCCGCCCAGGGCGCTGGAGGGCGGGCGGGACGAGGCGAGCGCCTGGGCCGAGCACCGCGCCCCTGGAACCAGCCCCCACCTCTGGCCCGGGGACACCAGCTCCTGTCTCTCCGGTGGCCAGGCTGCAGGGGGAGGTGGGCAGGGGGCTTCCAGCTCAGCAGAGCGAGTGTGGGCTGCTGGGGTGACCGCGTGTGGCTGGCGGGATGCGGGTGCCGGGGGAGGGGTGGGTGTCGCCGCCCTGCGAGCTGCCCCCTAACCACACAGCACTCTCCCATTCCCAGGCCCTGCACCAAGGGCCTTTCTTTGTGTGCACCCACACAGCAGGGCCCGCCCGAGGCGCGGTCAGCACTGGGCAGGGGCATGGAACGGCCCCCAGGCTGTGACACCCCCCCTCCCCCCCATCCTCCAGCCCCTCTGCCCACACTGCCACGCTGCCTGGACCTCTGAACTCAGGACAGAATTCCAAGCAGCAGGGCCGAGCCCCCAGCCCCCCCAGGAGGGGACAGTGATCGTCCCGAGCGACGCGGGCGCGGGGACCTCTGACGGCAGCGCGGCAGGAGGCGGAAGGAGACCCAGGGCCAGGGCTCGCCCGGCCTCGGACGCCTGCACCTGCTGGCCCGCACCGCGGCCCCGGCCACGTGCTTGTGTTCGAACAGCGCCGACTTATGCTCGTAAAACACACACCTCATGAAACTGTCCATGTGAACCGCATTTGAGTGGCACCCGCCCTGCCATGCGGCCGTCACCAGCGTCGGCTCCGGAACTTGGTCTCCCCAGGCTGCAGCTCTGCTCCCTCCCCACGCCTCCCCCACCCAAGGCCCTGGCAGTCCCAGTGTCGCTTTCTATGGGCTCCCGGCGGTGGAGTCACACACGGCATTTGTCCTGTGTCCGGCTCGGGCTGACTTTTCTCCTGAACTCGCTAACCAACCGATGCTGGCGAAACACACGTCCAAGGTGAAGTTTACCGGCTTACCACATGCTAAGTACAGGCACGTGGTAAGACCGACCTCCGCAACTACCGAAGGTGAACCTCCGGGGCCGGTGCTGTGGCGCACGAGGCTAAGGCTCTGCCTGTGGTGCCGGGACTCAGCCCGGCTGCTCCTCTTCTGATCCAGCTCTCTGCTGTGGCCTGGGAGAGCAGTGGAGGATGGCCCAGGTCCTTGGGCCCCTGCACCCACGTGGGAGACCTGGAGGAAGCTCCTGGCTCCTGGCTTTGGATCGGCACAGCTTTGGCTGCTGTGGCCATCTGGGGAGTGACCAGTGGATGGAAGACCCCTCTCTCTCTCTCTGTAACTCTCTCAAATGAAAATAACTATTTTTTTTAAAGGTGAACACCTTAACAACTAAGTTAAGCACAACGCACATGTGCTCAGTTTCCCCGGCCACATGTGGCCAGCGGCTGCTGCACGGGGCCGCGCCGCCTCGGGCAGGCCCCTCAGTACTGGGAGTTCTCTTGGTCACTGCCGGCCTGGGGGCGGGGGGACTTCCAGGCAGGACACACGGACAGACAAGGGGGCAGGGACGCCCAAGAGGCCGTCAGTGCCCTGACACGGGCCACAGGCAAGGGGGAAAGAGGACCTGGAGGAGGGGAGAGCGTCTCACTAAGAAGAGACCAAAGCCCCCTCCGCCATGCTGGCCTCCAGGCTCCTGCCCCAGCCCCAACTTGGCGATGGAGGTCAAAGCCACAAAGAGGCACGGTCACGGCTGTGGGGATGGCTTGGGACCATGGGGTAGGAGGGCGGTCCTCCAAGAGGCAGCCAGTCCCTGGGCAGTCCCTCGTGGGTGGATCAGGGCCATTGCCATGGCTGTAGAGGGGGTGTGCCCCCCCCGCCTTGGGCAACATAGCCTCCAAGGGCCCACCCCTCCTCTTTACAGATTCATAAAACAAACATCAGTCTGCAGCCCTCTGCCGTAGCCACAGAGAACAGACCAGGGGAGTGGCGGGGGAAAACACGTGTGAGGCCGCCCGGCGTCCAGGAGGCAGCTCTGGCCATCAGCCGGGCTCGGCTCCCCCGAGAGGCAGGTGGGGGGAGGTGACAAGGGAGGGCTTTCGTTTTTCGCCGAGTTTACTTCTGCATTGTTAATTCGCCAAACAGCACCCATTCGGAGGCTACGTGGGCAGCACGCGTGGACTGCTGGAGTCACAGATGTTTGTGAACAAGGCGCGGACGGACGGCTGCGTCAGAAACGGAGCCGCGTGGGGAGGGGCTGCCCCCCAGCCCCCCAGTCCCGGGCGCCGCTCCCTCTGGGCCAGATTCCAGGCCGTTCTTCATTTGCTTTGCTTATCTGCGTTTTCAGCCGCTCTGATTGAACCTGAATTACTTTTTTAATTAGAAAAGCAAATGAGGAAAGGTAAAGGCACACAAGGCAATCGCCGGGTTTGAGCCGGATCGGGCGCCTCGGGGCCGCCTGCACCCACAGCTCGGCACCCAGCTAATCCCGGCGAGATTACCTTTTGTCTTTAACCTGAAAACTGTCGGTGATGTTCTCTAAGCTCTGGAGGGGAACAGCTGATAGACTTCTAACAGGAGAAATAGTGGGTACCATACTCCCCGGAGGGATATTTACGGAGATTTCCTAGCTGCCGGTCACGGCGCTGCTCCATTGCAGAGAGAACAGAACATTCTAGAACAAGAGCCCCGCACAGGCGGAGGCCCCAGGCGGCCCCAGAGCTGGAGGAGTCCTGACCCCTGTGGGACCCGGCCCGGAAAGAGGCTCTCAGCAGACAGCGTTCTCCGGGCGGCTGTGTGCCGGGGACTCCCCGCAAGATGGACAAGGCCGTGCCGCTGAGTGCCCACGCCCCCCGGGACGGCGCAGGCCAGAGGTCCCGGCGGCCCCCAGCGCCGCCTACCTTGAGACCGGGCTGCTGTGTGCCGGGGACTCCCCGCGAGCCGGACGAGGCAGCTCTGCCGAGTGCCCACGCCCCCGGGACAGTGAGTGCCCACGTGCCCGGGACAGTGAGTGCCCACACCCCCGGGACAGTGAGTGCCCACGCCCCCGGGACAGTGAGTGCCCACGCCCCCCGCTGGCCCCGGCTCCGCCTACCTGGGTCTCCAGTTCTGTCACCTCCAGGTTCAGTTTGTTCAGGTGCTTGTTCACGAAGGTGATGAGAGACTGCGAGGGCACAGGGGGGTGGGGACCCATCAGCGAGCTGGCCCGGGACGCGCTTCCCTGAGCCCCCCGCCCCCGCTGGCAACAGCAAATATGCCCGTTTCAAACCCTGGGAGGCGCCCAGGCTCTCCTGCCTTCCCCTGGGGCACCGTGTAGGACAGGAAAGCGTCAGGCTCATCAAGGGGTTTCGTCCTCACTGTCGGTGGCCCAGGGGCCCAAACCAGAGCTTTTCAAAGCAGCCGGTGGAGACCAGCTCCGCCGAAGCCGAAGCCGGAAGCAAACCTCAGCGCCGCTTGGTCGCCACAGCGCCGCAGAGATGGGAAGACGGAGAGACGACTGGTCACAGGCTGAGGAGTCGGGGGACCTGGACTAGACGCACCCACCGCGCCGGGTCTGTCAGGGCTCCTGGGGCCAGGCATGGCCGAGGGGCGGGCAGGGGACATCCGGGGGCTCACCCGTGACCCCAGGATGCCAGGAGGGCTCTGTCCCAGGAGAGCCGCCAGGGCGGCTCCAGCAGCCTCCGGAGAGCCCTCCGGTGATGTGCGAGCCTGGACCAAGACTCCCAACAGTGGAGTCCAGGAATGTCACCTGTACCTCACTACAGACACGCGAGCGTGGGATACACTCCCTCCCGAGCCTCCCACGGAGATCCGAGCCGCAGGTCATCCCGTACAGGCTCTGACAAGGCCTGCACTGAGCACCCATCCGGGGACACGGCCGGAGACAGAGCAGCACGATGCCGGGGGCGGGGGTGGGGGGGGAGGGGCCGCCTCCCCTCTGCAGTCCTGGCGGCTCGGCGTGCAGTGAGGGGAGCCCGCGCCCCCAGCTGCCGCAGCCTCCCGGGGCTCAGGTGCACGGCGGCCCTGAGCAGCGGGCAGCCTGGTGACGCCCGCCGGGCCCCGGGCTGCAAATGCACCCTGCACTCGGGGTGGGCACACACGCCTCGGGGTCTCGGCGGTGGCGCCAGCCGGCAGGTTGGCCGCGGAGACACTTCCACACTGGGGAAAGGCCTGGACGCGGTGGAAGGAGCTGCCGGAGCTGGCTCCTAACTCGGTTAGCAGAAGCGGGCGGGTGGGCAGGAAGACACGGGGGAGCCGGGAAGCTGAGTTAAAAGGTGCTAATTTTATGCACTGTAGTCGCGTTTCTGGCTGTAATTACATTTCAGTCCACGTGGCAAACATCTCAGAGATTCCAAACAGCGTCCCACCTTCCTCCCCGCAGGTGCCAGCGCCGCCGAGAAAGCCGGAGCGGGAGCACGCGCGGCTTACCTTCTTCACCACGCTGAGCTTGTCCGGGGCGTGGTCGAAGAGCGTGTCGAAGGCGTCGCGTTCTGCGGGGACAGGAGAAGGGTGGGTGCCAGCGCCTGGCGCCAGCCCACATCCGGGGGCTGCTCAGCCTCGGCACTCACGCCCCCCGCCCAGCATCCTCGGGACTCCAGCCAGCGCCGGAGCTGCCGCTGCCGTGGCCTCCTGGCCAAGCCGAGCAGAGAGAGGCTGGGCTGCACGCCACGGGGCTGCGGGTAACTCAGCCGCCAGCTCTTTCAATGAAAACCGTGGGCAGCGCTCGGACCCCGGCCCGCTCGCCCCGCTCCCACCCTAGGACTCGCAAGGGTCCTCAGTCCTCCCCTCCCCCACACTCCGATCCAGCAGGTGTCCGGGACTCCGCCCTCACCACGCTGCCTCCTCCCGCTTCTCCCCTGTGCACCCCGGCCTCTGAAAGTACAAACTGGGTCACCCCTCCTCCCCACCCCCACAGCTCCTGGTCACTCGGGATAAAAGCCAACCCCTCTCCCGGGGGCTCAGCGTCACGCCCAGCACCCCCAATGACTCCACCTCGCCCACGCGGCCCGGGGCCTCTGCACTCTGTCCCTGTGCTGCCCCAACCCCCGCTCTCTGACCCCTTAGCCAGGTGCACCCCCTTGGCGTCCATCACATCTCGTTTCTGCTTGTCACCGGGCATTAGGGACTGAGCCCAGCTCCCTGCGCTGCTCTGGCTCCCAGAACAGTGAGGGCCGGGACCGGAGACCCCGCCCCAGAATCGCTCTCCAGTGGGCTGGGGGGGGGGGCCCTCCTCCGTGGGACATCACCCGGGACGGGCAGCTCACGTCTGCCCATGGGTCACGGCCATCCTCCTCCTCCCGGGTGAGCCCCAGTCATGCTCGCGGCCACTCAGCCCCTTCCCTCTCCAGCCGGGCAGGAGGCCACCTGGAGACCTGCAGCACAGGACTCACGGCAGGGGGCTGGGTCCCTGGGGAGGGGGAGAGGACAGCTGGAAGGGCGCCAGGGCACCCTGACTTCTGTCCTCAATGTTCCAGGAAGCAGACTCGGGCACAAGCCCGGGAGGGGGCTGGGGAGCCCAGCCCGGGGGGGGGGGGGTGGCGGTGGGGTAGCAGGTTGGAGAAGGAGCAGGAACCTGCCTCAGGGACCCTGGCCGGCCCGAGGGAGGGGAGGGGAGAGACAGAGAAGGCCCACGGCCCGGGCAGAAGCCCCAACAGAGAAGCCGGCCAGGCCCTGGGGAGGCAGCAGCCGCACCCCTTCCCCCCACCCTGCAGCCCCCAAAGACAGTTGGTCGGCACCCAGGGAGGCGGCTCGCACGCTCAGCCCAGCCTGGGGGCTCTTCCTTGGCCCACGGGGTGGGGGTGGGGGGCAGGCGAGCGGCAAAGAGGAAGGGAAACAGGAAAGCATGTGTGCGTGCATACATGGGCCACACGGATGCACACGTGCGGGGGGGGCTCCCCGAAGGCCCCACCTCCTGAGGCCGCTGGCTTTTCCACCACAGCAGCTGCATCTCGGCCCGACGACACTCAGCGCAGGGCCCGGGAAGAAAGCTAAATCCTGACAAAGCCGCACGCAACTTCAGATGCAGCTTAGCAAGAGCCCGGGGAGAGCGCCTGACGTCAGCGGGGTATATTTAGCTGGGCCACCGCTGGGCGGGCAGAGTCAAGCCAGGCGGGAGGCGGCACACGCGTCTCCCACGCCGGCCACCGCTCACCTGCGAGGGGCTGCGGGCACCAGGCCGGCTTTGAAGCGCCCCCGGGGAGCACCCGGCGGGGGGGACAGAAACACACCCGGGTTCAAATCCTGGGAGCCCGACCTGAAGCTCTTAGACTTTGCGCAGACAGCTTCCTTCTCCAAACCCACCTCTGCCCCTCAGGCGGTCCTGAGAGCCCACCGCACCCCTGGAGTAAGAATTAAACAGGCCAAGCCCGCAGCCTGGGCCCCAGCGTCTGGAAGTCCCTGCTGCCCTGCGCCCGCCTGCCGACCATGGCACGCCTGGGAGAGCCACAAGACACAGGCCTGCGCTTGGGAGGGGCTGGGCCAGGAGGAGAGACAAGCTGCAGGGGCCACAGAGGGGCCCAGAGTCCACCCGAGTCCACCCAAGTCCAAGTGCACCTGCTGTTGCTGCAGTCGATGTTTCTGAAATCGGAAGACTTTGCCCAAAGTTCTGGGTCTCTCCCTCTCTGAGGGGCGGTGGCAAGGGTGGGCTTGCACCTGCGCCCACACCTGACTCATCAAGCAGTGGCTTTGGGGCTGCCCCACCCCCGCCGCGCCCAGGCTGAGGGGAGGCCAGCGCTCACCAGTATATGGTCAAGCGACCCTCCGGTGGGCTGAGGGTCTGCTCCCCACAGACACTAGAATTTGGGGGCCCATGGGCAAGGACGGGATGGGGGTGGGCACAGGAAGAAAGCTTTAGGGGCCAGACGAGGGGGAGGGCGTTCTAGCACAGGGAACAGAAAGCCCAGGGTTGGTGGCCTTGAGGGAGTCTGGGGGTGGCCCAGCTGAGTGGGAGACTTGGGGAGCAGTGTGAAGGGGACAGGCCAAGGGTGAGGAGGCAGTGCGCCCTCCCCCTCCCCCACAGGGTCCTGGGAAGGGGCTCTCGGAAGCCTGGGAGCAGGAGGCGAGAAGAGGCAGCCGCTGGTCCGTCGCCATGGAGACCAGGCTGCTCCTGGCTCCCCGGGTGGGCGGTGGGAGGAGAGGAAGGCGCTCCTGCCTCTGCCAGGCAGGGAGGGTTAGGAGCCAGGGGCACAGCCGAGCCCCTCAAGGGCTCAGCACGCTCACGGGTAAAGCCCAGCTCCCGGCCGAGCCCAGCAGGCAGCCCTTGGCCAAGCAGGGCCTGGCTGACTTTGGGCAGCTCCTGGAATGTCCGGCGGCTGCTGTGGGGGAAGCAGAGGAGCCGGCTCCGGCCCCCAGGAGGAGGGAGGCCGGGGGAAGGGCTCCATCATCTGCCAGCACACGGCGGGGGGGAGGGGGCTCTGCGTGTGATGGTGACGCCAGGCAGGCCAGCGAGGGCCCCATGCGTGGGCGGTGGTTAGAAACCGGTATGACCAGGGAGGGGCGGCAATGCCAGGACCACCTCCCCAGCACCCGACCTCGAAGCCAGGAGCTGGAGGAGCCGCGGGAGCCAGCAGCTCGGACGGACACGGGGTGCTGGAAGCGGGCGCCCTGGGCAGCTGTGAGGGCAGCAAGGGAGCCCCAGAGCTGGGCCTGGCCACTCCGCAGCGAGCCAAGAAGGGGGTCCTGAGCAGGAGGGGCGTGATAACCGGGGCGCCAGCACCCACCCCAACAGGAGAACCTTCCAGAAGGGGCAGCAGAGACCGGCGTCCCCAGGAGGAAGCTGGGCCCCGGCAGAGGTGGCGCCGCGGGACCTGGCGTGGCAGTGTGGCCGCAGGGGGATGTCGGAGTTGAGTGCCGTGGTGCGGCCACCATGCAGACGTGCAGCTGCCCCTGGGAGACTGGGGAGCTGGCGTCGGCAGAGGCTGCGCCGCCGGGGGTGGGACTGATGGCCCACTAGCCCATTACACTAACAGCCACCGGCCCCTCCTATCCACAGGCAGGGACACCACCTCGCCCTGGCTCCATGGTGCCTGCCCCCCGCCGCCAAGGATGCCAGCAGCTGCGCAGTGGCCCAGGGCACAGCCACCCAGCACCCGGTTCTAACCGAGGGCCCCCTGCCTGGCCCTGACACTCGCTCAGCCCCAGGGGTCTCCCCAGCTGGGCTTCCCCACCCAAAGGATCCCCTGCACCTCAACAGGGCCCCTCCCCCTGACTCACAGATGACACGCGTGACAACGGGTGACACATGGGACAATGCCACAGAAACCCGAAGGTCACACGGACACGCGCGCGCCCCACTCCCGCTGGACCTCGTGATAATGAAGACATCAGGCAGAGCTCAGCTGCTCTACGGCCGGCCCAGTCCAATGGCCGCCAGTGAGTTCCAGGGACCGAGTCCCAGCTTCGCCAGATAAGGACTTTCCAAACCCAAGAGTCCACAGGTCAGCGGCAGCAGGGTCGCCTCGGGCTTTCAGGGCCTGTGGCCCCGCTGGGTGGGATTGGGGTGACACGCCCACACCAGGGACCCTGCAGGGATGGGGGTGGCAGGCATGGGGGCAGGTGGTCCCAGTTTTACCCTGACAGCCCTGGGCTGCCCCCCAGGGACCGGGGAACTCAGTACTGGGGGATGGTGTTGGGCATCACGGTGTTGGGGAGCGTAGCATTGGGGGTGGTAATGGGGAGTGTGGTTTGGGAAGCACGGTGTTGGGGGGGCGCGATGTTGGGGGTGCGGTGTTGGGGGCATGGTGTTGGGGTGTGGTATTGGGGTTGCAGTGATGGGGGCATAGTGCTGGGGGTGCAGTGTTGGGGGCATGGTGCTGGGTACGTGGTATTGGGACACAGTATTGGGGGGCACAGTGTGGAGGAGTGTGGTGCTGGGGACATGGTGTTGGGGGCTGTGGTGTTGGGGGCACAGTGTTGGGGGTGTGGCATTGGGGAGCACAGTGTTGTTGGGCGTGGTGTTCAGTGGTGTCATGTTGGGGACACAGTGTTGGGGTGCACAGTGTTGGGAGTGTGGTGTTGGGGGCATGATACTGGGGAGCACAGTGTTGGGGGCACAGTGTTATGGGGCATGGTATTGGGGAGCGCAGTGTTGGGGGCACAGTGTTGGGGAGCCACAGGCCCTGTTTGGAGGCAGCCGGCTAACTGGGCTGTGGGGGGGAGGTCTTGCCTCTGGGGCTTACAAGGCTGCCAGCAGTGATGTGGCCAAGACGGCTCGTGGGCTTTGGGAACAGGGCGGGGGGTCCTCCCAGCTGCCCCAGGTGCAGGGCACACCCTTCCTATCCACGGAACCCCTCCACAGCTCTGCCCAGGGGCAGCCTCGGCCCTCATGGGGGACGGACAGCGCTGAGCCCTAGGCCAGTGCCGCCCCTCCCACCTCAGCCCCATCCTGCTCGGCTCCTGCCCCTGGCAGTGGGACCGTCCCGCAGCCCACCCCTCCCCCTCTCTGGGCACCACCCGGCCCCTCACAGAGGGGGGTAGGGGAAGGGTCCTGTGAGCTTTCTCCAGGACTCCGAGTCACTGGGAACAGCAAGCCTGCCCAGGAGCCCCCCAACCCTGCATGGCCATGTGCACCCCAGGACCCCGTCCTCCGGGTTACTCACCGAAGCGCCCCATCATCATCCTGCAAACAAGAGCACAGGGCACTGTCAGGCGGGACGGGGAGGGGCCCAGGCGGGGAGGGGCCCAGGCGGGGGAGGGGCCCAGGCGGGGAGGGGCCCAGGCGGGGGAGGGGCCCAGGTGGGGAGGGGCCCAGGCGGGGGAGGGGCCCAGGCAGGGGAGGGGCCCGGGTGGGGGTGGAGCCCAGGTGGGGTGGAGCCCAGGTGGGGAGGGGCCCAGATGGAGGAGGGGCCCAGGCAGGAGAGGGGCCCAGGTGGGGAGGGGCCCAGGTGGGGTGGAGCCCAGGTGGGGAGGGGCCCAGGCGGGGGAGGGGCCCAGGTGGGGTGGAGCCCAGGCGGGGAGGGGCTCAGATGGGGGAGGGGCCCAGGCTCTGCTGCCTTCCCACCCTGGCTCCGAGGCCACAGCTTCCTCCCATGGCTGTGATGTATGGGGGGGTGTGTCTCCCACCCTGGACCCTGGATGACCCCCAGAGACGCAGAGGGCACCCGGGGAAGAGGCTGGCCCCCAGCGCATGCGGGGCAGCAAGGGGGAGGCCACGCCAGGTGCCCCACGCATGGGGGAAGCCCCAGTGCAGCCCTCTGGCAGGAACCGCCCGGCCGAGCCCAGCCGCAGTCACCGAGCAGAACCGGAAGCAAAGGCAATGGCTGTCATTACCACCTGGTTTGGGGCCCGCTGGTCCCCAACATCACGACCAAGACACCACCCAAACCCAGCTCCTCGCAAGGAGCCCCAGGCCACCGGCCGGGCCCAGAGCCACCTTCCTCGTCTTTGCCTGTGGGAGGGGCTTCTGGGGTGGCCCCAACCTTTGACAGACCCCAGGGGCTGGTGACTCAGGGGCTGGTCACTGCACGGGGGACAAGGACGTCCCATTTCATTAGAAGCAGGTGAGGCGAGCGGGGGCACAAAGGCTGCTGGCTCAGCCCGTTTCCGTGGGGCTGGAGACTTAGACGTCTCTAAAAATGCCCCCGGCGTTGTCCCGGGGTGCGGGCTCAGCCATGGCTGTCACAGCAAGGCTCAGCAGGTGGCGCCCTGCCCCGGACCGAGGTGGGGCTCGCGTGCGCCCCGGGGGTCTCGGACCACCTGAACTAAGCCTGGCTCTGGCTCTCCCTCTGTCCCCACACTCCCTATTCTTTTTTTTTTTTTTTTTTTAAGATTTACTTAAATACTTTGGAAGTCAGAGTTACAGAAAAAGAGGAAAAGACACACAGAGAAAGAGAGATAGAGAGCGAGCTTCCATATGCTGGTTCACTCCCCAGATGGCTTCAACAGCCAGGGCTGGGCCAGGCAAAGCCAGGAGCCAGGAGCTTCTTCTGGGTCTTCCACGTGGGTGCAGAGGCCCCAATATCTGGCCCATCCTCTGCTGCTTTCCCAAGCACATTAGCAGGGAGCTGGGTCAGAAGTGGAGCAGCCAGGACTTGAACCAGTGCCCATATGGGGCACCGGAGCCGCAGGCAGTGGCTTTACCCGCTATGCCACAGTGCCAGCCCCTCCATACTCCTCATTCTTAAAACTCACCATCCAGGGGCCAGCATTGAGGCACAGAGGGTTAAGTCCCTACAATGCCGGCATCCCATACGGGCGCCGGTTCAAGTCCTGGCTGCTCCGCTTCCAACCCAGCTCCCTGCTGAGGCACCTGGGAAGGCAATGGAAGGTGGCCCAAGTGTTTGGGCCCCTGCAGCCACGTGGGAGACCCGGATGGAGCTCCTGGCTCCCGGCTTCAGCCTGGTGTAGCCCAGGCCATTGCAGCCATCTGGGGCGTGAGCCAGCAGATGGAAGTCTCGTCTCTCCGTCTCTCTCTGTAACTCTGCCTTTCAATTAAGTAAACAAATCTTTTTAAAAAAGCAAAAAAGCTCACCACCCGAAATGAGCAGTGAGAAATCCCAAGGCTTGGGAGAACCGCTGGGTTCTAGCATTAGAAGGGTCGCAGCGCGCGTGGGGGAGGGAAGCCTGCCGGAGCCAGGCCGCGGCCCAGGCTGGGCTCACGTGGGCCACTTACTCTGTGGTCGTGGTCAGCTCCTCCGTGACGTGGCTGGAATGCAGCAGGCCTTCCCGCTTCTGGAAATGCCAAAACACACAAACACACACACAGAAGGACGGGCGGGCAGGCAGGCGGAGAGGTGAGAGGAGGGACACGCTGGGGGCGGCCCAGTCGCACCCAGGCCCCCTCCCCACCCGAGCGCTGCCACCTATGTGGGTCTCAGGAGAAAGGCCCCACCCAGCTCAGACCCCCCAGGGGCTGCTCGTGTCCCACAGCCGGCAGAGGTGAGGCCCAGTGGGGAGGAGCAAGTGGAGAGGAGGCACCCCCAAAACGACGCGTGTGTGTGCATGTGCACGTGTGTGCGTGTGCAGGCGCCGGGCGGGACATGCTGCCCCCGGCTCACACCACCTCAGAATGCCAGCTCATTTGGAAAGAGCCTTTGCAGGCATTGTGGGTTCGGACTACACCGGGTCCTAATTCCAACGGGACTGGTGTCCTTATGAGAAGACAAGAGACCCAGGTCAGAGGGAAGAGGCCCTGTGATGGCAGAGGCAGAGGCTGGAGGGGCGTGGCCACAAGCCAAGGACTTCGGCGGCCAGCAGAGACTACCAGAGGTGCAGAGAGACGGGGGCCGGGGGCCTCGGAGGGGGCCTGGCCCTGCCCACACCTGGCCAGCAGAATGGCGAGGGACTAAAAGCCCCCAGTCCGTGGCACCCGTTAGCACAGCCCTGGAACACTCCTTCCAGGGTCAGTGAGGCCACGTGGGGGGGCGTGGGGGCAGTAGGGGGCTGCCCACATGTCACACGAGCTCCGGTAGAACCCGGCAGCTAAACCACTACTTGGACGCCTCTAGGGACGGGGGCTCCCTGCCTGTTGAGGCGGCCGAGGTGGGCTCGCCTGGGGGCCGAGCTTCCTCCGGGGAGGCCTCCGAGGGCTGGGGCCCACCCCTCAGGAGGGCACAGACACCTGCGGTCACGCAGGCACACGCCGAGCACCCGCCGGGTGGGAGACGTGACGCAGAACACGCAGAACAACCCATCAGGGGATCGGAGCCCCGTTACGGGGGAGTTCAAGCGATCTGCCCGAGGCCACGGGCCAGGCACGCCCTGGGGGCAGCTCTGAGCACTGTGGAGGCCGACCCCAGCTCCTTCCCTCCTGCTCCAGGCGCGGCCCCGGCCAAGGCAGCCGGTGCCAGCGAGTGCTTGCCCGGGGCAGCCGAGCTCACCGCAGACCCACAGAGCGCCTTGGCCCCAGCACAAGCCCGAAAGGAGACATCCACGAGCTGACGTCGGCGGGCGGGGGACGGCTTCTCCTGTGTCCTTGGCACGCCTCCCCCGGCCAGCTGCCTGCGGGCCGGCATCCGAGACGAGGGGGCTGACCACAAGCGCCCGCCTTGGGAAGGACGCGGGGTCGTGGCAGGTGAGGTCCAGGCAGGGTTCGAGGGCTAACAGAGGGGTCAGGACCGCTCTGGAAATCACAAGTCTGGCCAAGTTCCCCCGGGATCCCGGCGGCCGCGGGACCGACTGATGATAGGTTTAAAAACCAAACGGAACGGAGCCGGCACAAATACCAAGACATCCGGGTTCCAAGGGCAGCCCCCCCTGCCGGCACACGCGCTGACTGTGTGTGCCCGGCCCCGGGTGGGTGGGCGGGGGGGTTCTCGGCATGGGGCGTCTGCCGTGACCCACACAGGTGTTGGTGCGTAGTAGGTGCTTCAGGCACCTACGCAAGCCAGGAGGCCGGCGGCTGAGCTGACCCTGGGTCCCCGGCCCCTGTCTCCCAGTGAGTCGGGGGAGATAAGCCCTTAGCAGGAGCCCGTGGGGCATGACGGGCAGCCCGGGGAGCCAGCACGCAGAAGCCCTAATTTGGGGCTCGGTTTCATCCGGCTGGGCCTGCCCTCCCGCGGCGGGTCATCAGCAAGCGACGGACTGAATCCGCAGAGCTGGCTGCCGAGACGGATCTGCCTTTTCAGAAATGAGGAAAATGAAAGCCACGCCCTCCCGCCTCTGCCTCTGCCTCTCTCCAAACCAGCGCCACGCGGGCCACGCCAGGGCTCACGCGGACGTCAGGGCGAGGCGGGCGTTTCGTCGAGTGGAAGGAAGGCAAGGCCGCCTCCCGGGGACGGGAAACAGACGGGGGACAAGCGAGCGTGTGGGCCCCGGGCCGAACTCACCCGCACGACCACCACCTGCACGGAGACGTGTTCGGGCAGGCGGATGGGGGCCCGGAAGTGCATGGCCAGCGCCACGAGCAGGTGCAGGATGGCCACCAGGTTCTTCCCGTGGATTGCTGTGGGCGGGCGAGAGGGGAGACGGCTCGGAGCAGACCCCAGGGCCCGCGTGCCAGCGAGCGCTCAGAGACAAGGGCGGGGCGGACGGGGTGAAGCCGAGCGCGGCCGGGGCACCCTGGGGGTATGGACGCCCGCGGCCGGGGCCGCTTTCCTGCCGGCCTCTGGTGATCCAGGCCACCACTTTTAAAAGCTTTGCACTTTTAAAAGCAGTAAATTGGGGGAGCACTCCGGAGACGGAAGGCGCAGGGTAGCAGAATCAGCACGCAGGCGGGGAAGGAGCAGGAGAGGGGTCACAGCCACGTGTCCCTCACGGCAACGTCGTGACTCCGGGGCGCCGAACAACTCCTGCTCTGTGGTCAGCAGCCCCAGCAAGGGGTGGCTGTCCCAGGGAGGGGTGGGCTGTCCCAGGTGGGGTGGCTATCCCAGGGAGAGGTGGCTATCCCAGGGAGGGGTGGGCTGTCCCAGGGAGGGGTGGCTATCCCAGGGAGGGGTGGGCTGTCCCAGCAAGGGGCGGCTGTCCCAGGGAGGGGTGGCTGTCCCAGGTGGGGTTGGGCTATCCCAGGAGAGGGGTGGCTGTCCCAGGAGAGGGGTGGGCTGTCCCAGGGAGGGGTGGGCTGTCCCAGGTGGGGTTGGGCTGTCCCAGGAGAGGGGTGGCTGTCCCAGGGAGGGGTGGGCTGTCCCGGGGAGGGGTGGCTGTCCCAGGTGGGGGTGGGCTGTCCCAGGGGAGGGGTGGCTGTCCCGGGTGGGGGTAGGCCATCACGGGTGGGAGTGGCTGTCCCGAGGAGGGATGGGCTGTCCCGGGGAGGGGTGGGCTGTCCCAGGGGAGGGGTGGGCTGTCCCAGGTGGGGGTGGCTGTCCCAGGTGGGGATGGGCTGTCACGGGTCGGGGCTACTTCAGGAGAAGGAGGACACCAGCTCCCACCCTGCGCACATCAGCCCCTGGCCGCCCCCTCAGCAGGTGGACGATCACCACTTCTGGGCGGGTCCCACCTGCTCTTCTCTCCACCACCCTGCAACCGGCAAGGCAGGCCGGCTCCGGCCCAGGTCTCCACTGCCAAGAAACCAGGGCACCAGGTCTCAGCCCACAGCCTCAGGCTTGGCTCTCCAGCCCCCGAAGGCCTGGCCCCCACAGAGAGCGCTGAAGCCCCCTCCTCCTGCCCTGCACTGGGAGAGGGGGTGGCCAGGGCAGAGCAGACCTTTGCCGTGTGTCTCAGGCCAGCCCACCCCGCCTCACCTCCCCCAGCCCTGCCCAGAACCCGTGGGGGCTTCCGCCTCCCCAAGCCGCCCTCTGCTCTGACCCCTGGCCTGCAGTCTCCCGGGCGGCAGCGGGGGTGGGGGAGGAAGGCAACGGTGAGTGACAGCAACAGAGAGGAAAGGACGGAGGGGGCCCCGCCCCCCGCCCCGCCGCGGCCACTCACAGTCCACGTTCCAGCGCAGCGCCCAGCCGTGCGGCCGCAGCAGGTCCTGCACGGCTTCCAGAACCGTCCGCAGCTTCTGCTTCTGGCCCGTTTCGGACTGGGTCACCTCGGCCACGTTCAGCTTGCAGTCGGCCAGTTTCTCTGCAGTGATGGAACGGGCGTGAGAGGCAGAGCGTCAGGACGGCTGGGCACCCGGGGCCGGACGGGGGTCCCCGGCCAGGGGCCAGCCGGCGCTTCCACGTTCCTCAGGAGGGGAGGGAGGGATAAAGCCGTGGCGGCCACGTGGGAACCTGCCACGCACACCGAACAGGGACCGTCACTGTGATGCACTGTGGAGGCGGGGGGAGGGCCCTAGTGGGGCGGGGCTGTCCACGGGGGGCGGGGCTGTCCACAGGCGGTGGTCCCTCCCTGCACGCCCGGCCCCCACGCTTGTTCCTCTAACAGTTCGATGCCACGGGAGGAGTTCTGGGATGCTCACAGAACTCACGGCCAGACAGAAGCGTCACGCTCGCTCAGGATTCAGTCACAAACAGAGACGCCGGTCCTGTCCGCACGCCTTCCATCTCCCTCGGGAGCAGGGCCGAGGGCCCCACACCTGCAGGCTCCGGCGGCCCGGCGCTCGGCCCCACACCCACCTGCGGGCTCCCCTCCGGCCTTCTGTTCTGTCTCTGCAGAACAGCCACGGTGCCACCACGGAGCGCCCCAGGACAGCGCCCCGCCCGGCGCCCGACACGCCGCCAGCCTTCCACACACAACCGCTGGAGGCGACGCGGCCCCGGCGGCAAATCAGGAAACCAAGCGAGTCCCGGCTGCCGCCGACGGGGCTTCGGTTCCGACCCCCACCTCGGCTCCGCTGACAGCCGCGTGGCTGGAGGCCCCCACGTCCCTGCTACCCCCCCACTAGCGTTCCAGCCTCACACAGTCAGGGCTGACCTCCCCACGGGCTCCCCCCAAAGCTGCATCTGCTTAAACACCCACAGGCTTTGTTTCATCGTTGCCGCCTCACGATAACAAAGCAGGCGTCACACGGGTACCGTGACCCAGAGACGGCCTGAGCGCAGGAGGGCCTGAGCCGGCGCAGGGGTGGGCAGCCAGGGCTCCTGGACCCAGCGCCCAGGGACGACTGTTGGCTGTGAGGCCTGCCGTGCGGGTGCCCCACAGGCGTTCGCGACTTGGTTCCTTCACTCACGAAGGGCGGCCGAGCACCCACCGTGCGCCACCGCGCTGCGCGCAGACCAGACGGACCCCACGGGGGAGACGGACCCCACGTTGGGGAGGGACCCTAAGTGGGGAAAAGGAACCCAAGCGGGAGAAGGACCCCAAGTGGGGAGTCTGACCAGCTGGAGATGGCCAGAGGCGGGGTTGTGAAGAGATGGACCCCAAGTGTCAAGCCAGGGAACCCCGAGCTCTGGTGACACCCCCCGGCCGCCAGCCCTGGCTGAATCCCCCAGCTGCCTGTCTGCTCCTGAAAACAGCCAGTGAGCCAGTCCCACGGGCACTCAGCACGGGACAGGGACAGCGCCGGGCAGCTGTGGGGGGGGAGGTGGGAGAGGCTCAGGGAAGCCCAGGCCCCCCCGCCCCGTCCCCTCCCGTCCCCTGCCGGCAGCCAACCTGCAGCTGCGTGTGGCCACGGCACCTGGGGTGCAGGAGGAGCAGGTGACAGGAAGGTGGGGTTGGCTCAGGCCGGCACACTGAGGGCTCCCGCCTGGCAGTCACACCACCAACCTTTGTCCCCAGGGTCTGGGGACCGGGAGCCTGAGACTGATGTGTGGCTGTGGGCGGGTGTCTGTATGCAGGGCGGGGGTGTTGGGGGGTTGGGGGTGTGGGGGTGTTGGGAGGGTGTGGGGGCATGGGGGATGTGTGTGGATGGGGGTGTGGGGAGGGTGTGGGTGGGTGGAGGTGGGTTGGGGGTACAGCTATGTGTGTGGGTATACATGGGGGTGTGGGTATGTGTGGGTGTGGGGGGAGTGTGTGAGGGAGTGTGGGTATGGGGAGGTGTGGGGGGAAGTGGGTATGTGGGGAGGGTGTGGGGGTTGGGAGGGGGATTAGGGGGTGTGGGTGTGTAGGGGGTATGTGTGGGTGTGTGTGGGTGTGTGTAGGGGGTGTGGGGGGAGAGTGTGTGTGAGGAGGGTGTGGGGGTTGGGGAGGGGACTAGGGGGTGTGTGTGTAGGGTGTGTGTGGGGCTATGGGTATGTTGTGTATGGGGGTGTGGGGGATGTATGGGGTGTGTGGGGGTGGGTATGTGGGAGGGTGTGGGTATGTGGAGGTGGCTTGGGGGTATGAGTATGTGTGTGAGTATGGGATGTGGGAGGTGTGGGGGGTAGGGTGTGTGTGAGTATGGGGGTGGGAGGTGGGGGGATGTGGGGGGTAGGGTGTGTGAGTATGGGGGTGGGGGTGGGGGATGTGGGGGGTAGGGTGTGTGAGTATGGGGGGTGGGGGTGGGGGTGGGGCTGGGGGGATGTGGGGGGTAGGGTGTGTGAGTATGGGGGTGGGGGGTGTGGGGTGGGGCTGGGGGGATGTGGGGGGTAGGGTGTGTGAGTATAGGGGGTGGTGGGTGTGGGGTGGGGGTGGGGGTATGTGGGGGGTAGGGTGTGTGAGTATGGGGGGTGTGGGGTGGGGTGTGGGGGTGGGGGATGTGGGGGGTAGGGTGTGTGAGTATAGGGTGTCGGGGTGTGGGGTGGGGGTGGGGGGATGTGGGGGGTAGGGTGTGTGAGTATAGGGGGTGGGGGTGGGGGGATGTGGGGGGTAGGGTGTGTGAGTATGGGGGTCGGGGGTGGGGAGGGGTGGGGGTGGCTGGTTCTTCCTCTTCCTGGCCACTCTAGGCTGGGAGAGCCCAGGTGCGGTCCTCAGACCTCCGTGCTATTCCGTTACCCACGCGGAAGCCAGCCGTGGCGTCGGGCCAGAGTCTGCCTGGTCTCAGCTTCCGCCTTTGGGAAGCCGGTGACTCGGACTCGGATGCCCGCGTGAACGTCACAGCCGGAATCCCTGGGCTCAGAGTCACGTGCTCACAGAGGGTTCCCCAGCACGGTGCTCACAGAGGGTTCCCCAGCACGGTGCTCACAGAGGGCACCCCAGCACGGTGCTCACAGAGGGTTCCCCAACACGGTGATCACAGAGGGTACCCCAGCACGGTGCTCACAGAGGGTACCCCAACACGGTGCTCACAGAGGGTACCCCAACACGGTGCTCACAGAGGGTTCCCCAGCACGGTGCTCACAGAGGTACCCCAGCACGGTGCTCACAGAGGGTACCCAGCACGGTGCTCACAGAGGGTTCCCCAGCACGGTGCTCACAGAGGGTTCCCCAGCACGCATCGGCCTCATCCACACAGCCAGGCAGGACCCCGTGCTGCTCTGCTCATTATCTGAGCCGATGTCAGCCCACCTGACACACGGGAGACTGCGGAACCGCCTCCCACGCGCTGTCTGGAGATTCTCAGGGGAGACGACACGGCGGCCACCCGCGATTGCGAGGCTGCCTGAGCCATCGCGGGGTCACGCGGGGCTTCACAGACACAGAGAGCGGCGGGGCGGGGCTCACGGACTGCACGGCAGCCACTGAAGAGGGAACCGAGACGCGCCCTGAGAGGGCGGGACCCCATCCGGAAGACGCCCCACCCCCTCCTCCCAGGCCGCATCCGCACCGGAGACGCCGGGCGGAGCTCGGCCTGCCGGAGGTGATGCTTAGGGCCACGGCTTTTCAAAGGATCGGGTGCATAAAGCCACAGGTGCGTGCGAAAGAGTCAGAAATTAAAGACGCGAGTGAGTGCGGCACGCAGGTTTGCTTCTTCACCTGACACCGGGCTGCCCCTGAGGCCTCCCGACCCTGACCCTCCCAGGAGCCAGAGAGAGCCCCCACTCACGGCCCTGCCCAAACCCCCAGCGGCTGCCTGTCACCTGCAATCAAGGCCTGTCCACCAGGGCTGGACGTGGCCTGACCCTGCCTGCCGTCACCGTCTACCCCTGCTCCACCAGGGCTGGACGTGGCCTGACCTTGCCTGCTGTCACCGCCCCCCCCCCCCCCGCTCCACCAGGGCTGGACGTGGCCTGACCCTGCCTGTTGTCACCCCCCCCCACTCCAGGGCTGGACGTGGCCTGACCCTGCCTGCCGTCACCACCACCCCCACCCCGCTCCAGCCTCCCCCACTGCTCCTCGACACACAGGTGCCCCCTCGCTTCAGAGCTTTGTTCTGGAACATTCTCCACACGCTCACTGTGCAGGTGTCAACTCCCAGAGGGGCTGCCCCCGACCTGACCGCATGGCCCTCGCCCAGCCCAACCGCGCTGTGCCACACAGCCCTGTGTACCCTCGCCCCTGTCGCTTCCACCACAGCCACGCCACAGCGAGAGCCACAGCGGCGCACTGGAGACGGTGAACGTGCGCCCAACACGTGGGGCAGGCGAGGGAACGAGTGAGTGCTGTGCTTAGTGCACTGTGAGGACAGAATAACACACGGTCCGGCGAGCCCTGCGGCCTCCGGGCTGGGTGTCGCGACCTGGTCCCCGGTGCCGCCTCGGCGGGTTTCCCTCCAGGATGGCAGAGTCAGTAAGACACGCTTCCGCTGAGGCTGCAAACCCTGCCCAGAGGGTCTCGGGTCTGGAGGGGGGGGATGCTGGCCCCCCCCGCACCCCCCGGGGCACCCCCTCCAGGGAGCACGCCCTGGCTGCGCCCCCTCAGTATCTCCGTGTCCTGTGCAGTATCTCCATGCCAGGCAGCCCCCCACCAGCTTAGCCACCGCCCGGGTGCCCAGGCTGCAGCTGTGCGGGGGAACACGGTCCTGCCTTCCCCCAGCTGCTGCTCTGCCACGGGGCGGGGGGGCATCTGCTCAGGGACCCTTTCTCCAGCCTGGCGGGGGGGGGGTGGCATCAGAGGGCGGGGCCTTGGGTGAGAACGGCAGCCCCAGGCAGCAGATCCGCTCGCTCCCCGATGCCAGGGCAGGGGTCTCCCGTGACCTGTAAGAGCTGTGTTATCCGCATGCACACGGGGACGCCAAACCCCCGGAGCCACCTAGCAGGAGCCTGGACACACGCCGGCAGCCGTCAGACACACGTCCCGTCTGCTCCTCTTTCTCTTCCTGCCAAGGGGCCCACGGCCGTGCAGGGGGCCAGCAGCAAGGCCGACGCCGCAGCTCTCACTCCCCGCACCCGCGTCTCCCTCTTAGCCACACAGAACGTGCGTGTGTGTGCACCGTGCAGACACCACCTCGGCCAGCAGCCCAGGGACGGCAGACGGGCCGTTGGCAGCCATGGCCACCACTCCCACCTCCTCCTCCCATGTCACACACCCCACGCACACACTCACGGTCTCGGGACCCTCCCCAGTCAGGACGTCACCCCTGCCACGGCCCCAGAACCTCTCGTCCCGGCCACCGACCCGGCGGTCACACAGCTGAGTGACACAGAGAAGCGGGAGCGCGGCAGGCACCAGGGCAGACCCAGAGCCAAGTGCACGGTTATCCCCTGCCGCCCGGGAGAGCACCACACGAGTGACGGGGAGACCCTCCCGGGACCATCGACCCGGGACACACAGCCATGGGGCAGGATGGAGGGGGCCCGACACGGACACAGCTCCAGGCCAGGAGCACCACTCAGGACAAAGGAAGCGTGTGAGAGAACGCACGGTGCAGGGAGGGAGGAAGGGAAGTGTGTGTGTGCGTGTGTGTATATGTGCGCATGTGTGTGCTTATCGTGTGCTTGTGTGTACACGTGTGCTCATTGTGCATGTGTGTACATACGTGCACATGCATCATGTGCTTGTGTGTCATGTGTATGTGTGTACATGCATATCGCGTGTGCATTGCATGCATATGCACGCTTGTGTGTGCGTGTGTGTGCGCATTTGTGTGTGTGCATGACACGTGTGCATGCTTGTGTGTTTGTGTGTGTACGTGCATACCGCAGATCACGTGTGCATTGCATGCATATGCATGCTTGTGTGCGTGTGTGCACATGTGTGTGCGTGCATGGCACTGTGCATGCTTGTGTGTTCGTGTGTGTACATGCATGTGTGCACACTGGTGCGAGTGTGTGAACACATGCTTATCTTCACCCACAAACCCAAGAACGGTAATCCGAATCCACTGACGACAGCCCCCTGGGGTGTGGGCAGAGGGGTCTGCACATCTCCAGGTAGAAACCCTCTGTACCCTCACGGAGGGGGCCTTGTCTCAGAACCAGGAGCGCCCACCAAGGCCCAGTCGTCACGGAGGTGACCCGACCCGTGCCTGCCCGCTCAGGCCGACCGTAAGTTCCCCAGGGACAGTGCGGGGTCTGCTCTATGGCCACCGCATCCCCGCGCCCAGCATGCAGGGGCACTTGGACACAGATGGATGGGTGGCCAGCTTATCCACCCAAGGGTCAGCGAGGAGGGTGGGCGATGGGAGCCGCCCCTCCGGGGCACAGTCAGGGCTCACCTGGCCACGTGCTCAGCTCACCCCAAAGTCTGCGTGGCCACTGCCCTCCCGCCAGCGCCTCCGATCCTGAGACAAAGGTGCCCGTGGAACAGGGAGAGGCAAGGCCAGCGGGGAGGGAGGCGGCCCCGTTCTGACCCATCCCCGTGGGCACGGACAGAGGCTCAGGACGCTCCGGAGGCTGGGGGTGAGCCGAGCCGGCCCCCTGCTCCTCCCTCGACACACACACTGGGGGCACAGCCCAGGGCCCGGGAACCCAACCTGGGGGGCGGGGCACTGCTGCTGGGGTCTGTGGTCAGGGCGCAGGGCTCACCCAACAGCCTCTGCAGCACCTGCCTGTCTGTCACACAGCCGACCAGGGGGAGTGTCCTGGGGTCTGTGGACCAGGGGCGGGTGGGGAGTGTCCTGGGGTCTGTGGACCAGGGGCGGGGAGTGTCCTGGGGTCTGTGGACAGGGGTGGGGAGTGTCCTGGGGTCTGTGGACCAGGGGCGGGGAGTGTCCTGGGGTCTGTGGACGGGGGGTGGGGAGTGTCCTGGGGTCTGTGGACCAGGGGCGGGGAGAGTCTTGGAGTCTGTGGACCAGGGGCGGGGAGTGTCCTGGGGTCTTGGACCAGGGCGGGGAGTGTCCTGGGGTCTTGGACCAGGGCGGGGAGTGTCCTGGGGTCTGTGGACCAGGGTAGGGAGTGTCCTGGGGTCTTGGACCAGGGCGGGGAGTGTCCGGGGTCTGTGGCCGGGCGCGGGCTCACCCAGCAGCTTCTGCAGCACCTGCCCGTCGTACAGGTCCTCCTCCAGCTGCTTCACGATGATCCGCTCCTCCACCAGCACGTCGTTGATCCAGTCCAGGAGGACCTGGGGAGAGGCGGCGTCAGGGCCTCGCGCCACCCGCACCACGCGGCCCGGGGAGCCCGGGCAGGGGCGGGGGAGGTCATGCCGGCGCGTCTGGGCTGGCTCCCAGCTCCACAGGGAGTTCCTGCTGACAGTGCCGGCCCCCGCGGCCCTGCCCCCCACTCCCATGGGAGCCACACAACACCCCCACCCCAGCCCCCCGCCTCAGCCTGGAGCATGAAGGCGTCCGAGTTTCAGAGGGAGAAGGAGAGACAGATCTTTCATCTGCTGGTTCATGGCTGAAACAGCCAGGCTGGGCCAGGTCAAAGCCAGGAGCCAGGAGCTCCCTCCACGTCTTCCACGTGGGTCCAGGGGCCCAAGACGTGGGCCATCCTTGGCTGCTTTTCCAGGCCCAGCAGAGAGCTGGATTGGAAGTGGAGCAGCTGGGACTGGAACCGATGCCCGTGTGGGATGCCGGTACCACAGGTGGCAGCTCTACCCGCTACGCCACAGCGCCGGCCCCTTCTCTGCGGCTTTGGGGCTGTTTTGTGCTGGTCACAAAAGCACCTTTGGAGAATCCGGGTGCCCCCGGAGCAGAACTCCGAGTGGCTGATGGCACTCACTTGTGCTGCACACAAGACGGACGGCCGCGCAGACCTGGCCGACAGCAGGGTGCCAGGATTCTCCTGCGCAAGCAAAGCTGATAAACTCCCTAACTGGTCGCGGCAACCTTTCGGAACCGGCAGCTACGGCCCCTCTGGGAGACAAGCCAAAGGGCACAGATCCCGGACGCGTCGCTCTCTGTCGCTCGCCAAACGCCTGCAGAGCGGCTCAGAGCTGAGCTGGCGGAGCGATGCTATTCCCGCTAATGGAGAAGCACTCCATCAGACACCAGCGCACCAAGACGGCAGGGAAAATCCCCCGGAGGGGTTCGGGGAGGCGGGGAGGCGGGGAGGCATGCAGGCTGTGCCAGAGCCAGCGCCGCAAGGTCAAAGCCCAGAGCCGGCTCCAGGCTCGCCCTGACAATCCTGGGAGTCCCAGCTGAGCACGCGTCCGACCCGGCCACCTGCAGTCCCCCACCCCCGCCCTGTGCTCTCTTCCCAGGCCAGCGCGCGCCCTCCTCCCATCAAGTCCAGAGCCAGCGCTGACCCAGGAACCTCGGCAGCCAGCCCCCCCTCGGCGTGGGCTCCCGTGGGCGTCCCTCACCAAACCCTCCCCTCCCCGAGCCGGCTCCTGCTCTGGGAAGCAAACAGGACCCCTGCCCAGCCCCCGCTCCTGGACTCCCCTCCTCCCCCACTGCTGCCCCCTTCCCAGCACCGTCCTGTGCCGAACCGCCACCTCTCCCCGGGCCGGGCCCCACCGGGCACCCCGCCTCCTCATGGGTTTTCTTCCAACGCTGCAAACTCCCCTGGCCTCAGGGCTCTCACACACGCTGCTCCGGCCACCCTCACGGCCAGGACATCCTGGGCCTGTCCCAAGGGGCTCAGCTCCCGTCACTGCCCCGCCCCCGCGCCCTGGCCAGGCGCCTCCCCCACCGCGGCTCTCACTGCACCGGATGCCTGGAACGGATCCCTGCAACGACCTCTCCGAGGGCCGGGACCATGGGCATCTGGCCCGTGGCTGCCCCCGGCCCTCGGGGCTCGCTGCACGGCACGGCCACTCTGAGAACGCAATGCGTGCGTTTAATGAGCACCTGCTGTCGCCAAGCTCTGGGACCCAAGGAAACAGATAAGGGCTTGGCCTGGAGGCCCGCACAGCCTGATCAGACGTTAAACGACCAACAGCCACACACGCCCGGGCTGGGATCGGCCCACGGGAAAACTATGGCAGCAGAAGCTGACCCACACCTCAGCCAGCTGACCGCGGCCAGCCGTGAGGAAGGCAGCCCCGCCCCTCCGCCGGCTTCCTCCGAAACCCAGGGCCCCGATGGCATCCCAGGACGTCAGACCACGCCCCGTGAGCTGCCCAGCTCGGCCACCACCAGGGACGTCTGGAAACACGCAGGCTGGACACCACGTGGGTCCCCGGGGCGACCCTGGCGACGGGAAGGCAGCCAGGCTGGAGGAGCGGACACGCAGCAGCGTGGTGCAGCCACGTGTGGACGTGGGTTCAGGGACTGGAGCCACCACGACAGCTGGCGCTGGGGACAGGACGCATGGAGCAGGGCTGGAGCTCGCCACGTACACCAAACAGTCCCCAAAAACAGAAACTACAGGGCAGGGCAGGGTCCGGGGATACAGGGAGGAGGTGACGCGGGGCGAGTCGGGGGCCCCTGAGGGGACAGCAGCACCGGGAGTGACAGGGTAAGGAGGGGAAGTGACGGTGCTCTCGCCCAGGCGGGGGCCGCAGGCAAGCGGGAGGGGGAGGCTGGACACCGAGACGCGAGGGGCACCGCTGGGCAGACAGGTGCAGGGACCGGGAGAGGGGACAGGGGTGGGGGCAGCCCAAAGGACAGGAACGGGGGACAGGCACTGCAGGTGTCCCCGACTGGAGGAAGTGACCCCAGTCAGGGCTGCTGGGACAGAGGGGCCCAGGGGTCAGCGGACTGCAGGCGGGGGCAGCACCCAGGAGCTGGGAGAACAGCTGGCCGATGCCCACGGGGCGGACCCACCCTGTTACGCAGCAGCCAGTGACCATTTGGGGGACACGCCCATACCTCACCTCCTCCCACCTCCTCGGATGCCTTCACCAAACAGAGCTCTGGGGTTCGCCGTCTGGGCTGAGTGAAGACACAGTACCCGACCAACGCCCCACCAGGCACCTCCGAGCTGGGCTGCGGGGCCAAGGACACAGAGCAGGGACGACAGCGAGAGGGACCCGCGGCCCTGGGGCCCAGGGGGCTGGCACAGGAAGGGGGGGGCAGAAAGCAGAGCGCAGGCAGGGAGCTGGGAGGGATGGCAGGAGCCCACCACTGCCCCCAAGGAGAGGCCCAGGGGCCCCTGGGGACTGGGTCTGGAGGTCAGACCCTGGGGAGCCGCGGGGGTGCAGTGAGAGGGTCTCAGGGCCGGGGTCGTCCACAGCTGCCGTGAGCTGGAGGGGCCCGCGTAGAACACGCGTGGGTACCCCAGAAGCTGGGGGGGGCGGGGGCGGAGCCCTGGCTGGGCCTGCAGCCGGGTTTCAGGTTGGAGACACTGAGCAGGGCTCGCCCCAGCACGCGACCCGGCCAGAAAACAAGGTCAGAGGCAGCTGTGGTCTCGGCGGCCGAGCCGGCGGCCAGCTACACAGCGACGGCACCGTGCTCGGCCAGCACAGGCAGCCTGGGGTACGGAGCACAGGAGCCGGTACCAGCAGGTAAACCACACACACACACACACACACACACACACGTGTATACACACATACATACACACACGTGTATACACACATACACACATGTACACACACACACACACAAATGCAGGATCGAGCGCCGTGTTTGGACCCAGCTTCCCCAGGGGTCTGCTGTGTGGCCCTGAGCCACTCCTCAACCTCTCTGGAGTTCAGTGCCGTCCTTAGTGGCGCTGTGAGCCAGCGGCTCCAGTTCCCAGTGCGGTCCCAGCCCTCGGGCAGAGAGCAAGGCGGCAGGGCCCGCGCCAGCTGCCTCCCGCTCCACGCCCGGCCCGCCGCCTGCTGGCGAGCAGCAGCGCCCCCCCCACATCCATCACCACGCAGGGACAGGAGCTCCTCTGTGCACACGGAAACCCTAGCCCTCCCCCCCCAGGAGAGAAGTACAAAGGCGGAGGGCTCGCGCTTCCTGTGTCCGATCTCCCGCAAAGCCGCAGGAACCAACACAGCTCCGCACTGACAAGAAGCAGACACGGGGCCTGGGTGCCACAGAGCCGGAGCCAGAAATAGACTCGACCAGTCAGCCGGCAGCAAGAAGGGTGCCAAGGGGAGACTCAGCCTCTCTCTGAAGATTCATTTATTGTATTTGAAAGACAGAACGACAGAGAGAGAGACAGAGATCTTCTCACTCCCCAGATGGCTGCAACAGCCAGGGCTGGGCCGGGAGCCAGGAGCTCCATCCGGGCCTCCCACGTGGGTGCAGGGGCCGCAGCACTTGAGCAGGGAGCTGCATCGGAACCAGAGCAGCCAGCACTGGACCCCGCGCTCTGATGTGGGATGCGGGCGTCGCAGGCGGCACCACAGCGCCGGCTCTGGGACGGCAGCACAGCCACGCGCCCCAGGGAAGCCAGGCTTTGCCACGGCGCTGGGCGTCCACGTATGGGCCACACGTCAGGCTTCCCCGGAGCGACGTCTGCTCAGCCCCTGGGCCCACTTCTGGTTGGGTCACTTGCTGGGCACTCTTAGCCGTGCGAGTGTGCTCCACGGGTCTGGACACAGAGAACCTCGGGGCGCGTTTCCCAGGCGTCCGCCCACCCGTGGGCGTCCCCTCGCTCTCGTGAGCGTATCTTTCGAAGCACACAAGTACTAACATTCTTCTGTAAATGCCTGTGCTGTGAGCGTCACATCCTGGAGGTCCTTGCCTAAGCCACGGCCCGAGGACTCACCCGGTCTCCTGGGCGCCCTCGGTCAGCCCTGCAGATCACAGAACGCGTTCCCTCCGTGGGCAAAGGGGAAGGGAGCCCCCGAGGTACCGAGCAGAGAAAGCGCCTGCCCGCTCCACCTGCGGGCCCAGGCATCTAGGAGCGCATCCCGGCAGGTCGGGGCTGGTGGCGGCGTCCGCCAGGCAGGGCCCTGGGCACCAAGATGCAGGGAAACCCGGATTGTGCCCCAGGCGGGTGGTGAAGGCGTCACAGACGTGCTGGGGAGGGCGCAGGTGGGGAGGGTGCCCGCGAGAGGACACTGGAGGGCAGAGCGCCCTGGTCTTCCCACAGCCGCTGCAGACAGCAGGTCCCACCACACTGAGGTCTGCATCCCTCTCGCAGGAACCCAGCCCCATGTGAGACGCCATGGGACCCTAGCACCTGCTGCTGCTCCCCCCAGGGACCCACACACAGGAGTCTGCCCAAACGCCACCTCCCTGACCACCCTGCCTAGAACAGGCAGGGTGGGACGGCCCTGCTTCCTGCTGTGGCTTTCGCCGAGGCACCTGTGGCCAGCAGAACGGCTGTCCCTGGCCACGTCCGTCTCCCAGCGGGCCGCCCCATCACGTGGGCGGGCTCTTTGCTTTGCGCAGTGCCCCACCCCCAGCAGCTAGAACGTGCACACGTCCAGGGAAGAGGTCCAAGCAAACCGCAGGACGGCCAAGAAACTTTCTGGAAAGTTCTCCCAGGCCGGGACGCTGTGGGTTCCAGGGGCTGCCTTGCCCCCAGCACAGTCCAGTCAGGAAACTCAGGGAGGCCACATCTCTGCTTTGTACAAACTCAGACTTGAAAGAAAACTGGAGCTGGCGTCGTGGTGCAGCAGGCGAAGCCACTGCCTGAGACGTCGGCCTCCCATGTGGGCACCGGTTCAAGTCCCGGCTGCTCCACTTCCAGTGCAGCTCTCTGCTAACGCCCTGGGAAAGCAGCCGAAAATGGGCCAAGTGTTTGAGCCCCTGCACCCACGTGGGAGACCCGGATGAAGCTCCTGGCTTTGGCCCAGCCCAGCCCTGGCCGTTGTGGCCATTTGAGAAGTGACCCAGCGGGTGGACGCTCTCTGTGTCTCTCCCTCTCTCTCTGTAACTCTGCCTTTCAAGTAAATAAACATATCATCAAAAAGAAAGTTAATGTTGAAGAGTTGAAGAGACTAGAATATCTTAGAAGGAAAAAAAAAAATAAAAATAAACCAGCTCATTGGAGTCCCTGAGTCGGCTGCAGCCCAAACACAGCAGAGAGAGACAGCAATCGAGCTCCCTGCCCAGGCCACACGGCCGGCTCCCCCCAGCCCCACAGCTGCACCCCGCCCCCAGCAGGTGCAGCTCATTCTGGGCCCCCAGACCACCCCGCCCGCACCTTCCCGGGCCATCCGTCTCCACCTGTCACTGCACTGGACATGTTAAAGACGGCGGCCAGTCGTCACTCATAGAGACAGCCTCAGCCTCAACCCCGAGTGCCCGGCAGTGTCCGGGCCAATATTGATGGCGTCCCCGCGGCGCATCCATCACCGCGTTTTACGAGCCTCTCGCGGAATAAAACACTGACACTGCCCGTCAGGCCTGCAGTCTGTCTGCCCCCGAGCGATGGCAGCTGCAAACAGGACGAGGGCGCCTCTCCCGGGCGGGCGGGCGGGAGGAATTCAAAGCCCGGGGAAGAGTCTCAGCCAACACACGGGGTGAGTCTGCGAGGGGGCCCCGCCCGGGCGGAGGGCGCGCCCTGCGGGGCTGAGCTGGGTCCGGTGCTCTATTCCGGCAGCAGGCGCGGTGCCCCGGCGCCGGCTTCTCAGAGGCCGCCTGGGTGCCTGACGTAGCCACAGCTACAGCGGGGCCATTACGGGTTTGTTACCAAGGACCCCGGAAGGGCCCAGGGCAAGGTGGGGAGGGGTCGAGCGTCCAGCCCTCCCTGGTGCCCCCAGCACCCCCTCGCCTCCGCAGCCCTGGAGTGTGAGTCTCCATGCCGGTGAGGACGTCCTCGGCCCCGCCCCCTCCCCGTGGGGGCCGCGGGGAAGCGGGCAGTGGAAGTGGTCAGAAGTCAGCAAGGGCGCCCCTGCTGCTCCACAAACCCTCAGGGTTTCCAGAGCCTGGGCCGGCGGCCGGGGACCAGGACTCGGCACGGGCCTGGGCGGGCACGCTCTCTCCGGCCTCCGCTCCGGAAAGCATAAGAACCGTGGCTCCTGCTGAATGGTCATTAATGACACACGCGGGGTCCCCCCTGTAAGCCGGGAGCGGCCGCCCTCCCTGCCGGCCCAGCGGGAGGAGTTCAGCCCGCGTCTGGAGGGTTCGGGAAGAAACGCACGGCGGACGGCTTCGGGACGCTCCACTGAGACTCCAGGAGCCACCATCAGCCCCCGCCCCAAGCTAACAGGTGCTCCCCACAGGGCCTCGCTGTGTCCTCACAGCCCCCAGGGGAGCCGGGACCCGAACACAGAGCTGCCCCCAGCCCCAGAGCCCGCCTCACTGCTCAGCGGGTTCTGAACCCCCACCACACGCTCAGTGCCAGGGACGTCACCAGGGACCCACCGGGAGCCGAGGGCAGCTGGGATTTCCTCAACAGCACCAGACCCGCGGTGCCAGGTCCCAGGACTGGGAGGTGGGTCCTGAGGCACGGCCGTCCCCACCGTGTCCAGCAGGTCGAGAGGTCAGGCGGCCGGTGGCCCCTCCCCACCTGCCCGGCTCAGGCTGGCGCACTGTCCACACCGCCCCAAGGCACCTGCTTCTGAGCTGAGGACCGCGAGGGCCCCTGGGAGGTGGTCACTAGGAGGCGGCCGCAGGCTTCACCCAGCAGAAGCGTCCACCCCATCCGTGTCCACAGAGGACGGTTTGAACAGCGTCAGGAGCCACACGGGGAACGCGGACGGGGTTTCTCCCTGAGCCTCCCAGGCTGGCCCTCTGCACCTGCCCCTCACCCCTCCTCCAGGAACCCCCAGCTCCTGCCCACCAAGAAACAGGTGTGCAGGGGAACAGACCCCCCCCGAATCTTTTGGGGAGGGGCAGCCACACGGTGGGCTGTGTCCATTTCCTGTGGCTGCCGAAAGAAAGGACCACAAACCTCAGGGCTCCCAACGATGCCACAGATCTTCCCACGGTCAGGAAGGCCAGACAACCCCACTGGGACACTGGCAAGGCGTGGGGGCCCCTCTGGGGGCGAGCCCGCTCCGTCTCCTCCGCCAGCAGAGGCGCCCGCCTCCCCCTCCCCCTCCCGCCCCCCGCGTCTGCCTACCTCAGCGGCATCAGGGCTCCCTCGGCCCCCTCGGTGGTCCTGCCGGACCCACCTGGGTGATCCCTAATCGCTGCCATGGAAGGTGGCACTCACAGGCTCCAGGGGCTGCACCATGCCAGCTTCAGGGCCAGCACGTGACGTGGCCCAGACCGCCCAGGTCCCCAGCAAAGCTGGGCCCCACAGCTGACCCCTGAGGCTTTCCTGGGGAGCCGCGCCCCAGAGCAGACCAGGGAGGGATGGGCAGGTGCAGGACCAGGCTGGCGGCCACTGGGGATGGGAGCAGCAGTCGGGGGCTGGCGTGTGGCTCTATGGGCAAAACCACCGCCTGCAACACGGGCATCCCATAGGGGCACCAGTTCAAGTCCCGGCTGCTCCACTTCCAATCCAGCTCCCTGCGCTTGGTCCCACTCTGCCCCCCGCCCAGGACTTGGTCCGTCCTCCACTGCCTTCCCAGATACTTCAGCAGGGAGCGGGATCAACGTGGAGCAGCCGGGAATCGAACCACACGGGATGCCAGCACCGCAGGCAGCAGCTTGACCTGCTACGCCACAGCGCCAGCCCCTCCACCAACTTTTTAAAGTACCCTTGTATGTGTTCACACGTGTGTGTGTGTGTGTTGACACGTGTGTGTGTGTGTGCACTGGGTCTGTTTCACTGGGGACCCCCGACGATTCTCATGCTTCCCTCCCTTACCCACCCAGCGTGAGAAACATTTTGGTGGCCAAGACGCAGAGCTAGTTTCCTCACGGAAATTCTGTTCAAGGGTCCGGCGCGGTGGGGTAGCGGGTAAAGCCACTGCCTGCAGCTCAGGCATCCCATAGGAGTCCCGGTTCGAGTCCCGGCTGCTCCGCTTCCCATCCAGCTCTCTGCTCTGGTCTGGGAGACCTGGGAGAAACTCTGGCTCCTGGCTTCAGCCTGGCCCAGCCTGACTGTGGTGGCCATTTGGGGAGTGAACCAGCCGAGGGAAGACCTCTCTCTCTCTGCCTCTCCTCCGTAAATAAAGAAATCTTTTTTTTTTTTTTTTTAAAGGAACTCGATTCTGTGTAAGATAACGAAGTGGGTGGTAAGGAGAAAATAACAAACCAAAAAGCCTCTTTGGAGAAGCGAGGAGGGGTCAGCCGCTGGCTGACGCGCACGTCCCTGTCGGGGCCCGGCCTCCAGCCCCAGCTCGGATTCCCACTTCCAGCTCTGCCCAGGGCACCCCCGGGGGCAGCAGGTGCGGGCGCCGTGTGGGAAGCCTGGACTGCGCTCCTGGCTCCCGGCTGCAGCCTGCCCCAGCCCCTGGCACCCTGAGAATTCAGGGAGTGAACCACACGGGGACGCGGTCTCTACCCATCCGTCAAGCAGACCAGTGATCTACGTTGTTGAGGTCAAGGTCACGGGGCTGGCGTTCAGATGCCGTGGGCTATGCTGCCACTCGCAGTGCTGCCATCCCATACAGACGCCAGTTCTGGCCCCGGCTGCTCCACTTCCAATCCAGCCCCCTGCTGATGACCTGGGGAAGCAGCTGCAGACGGCCGGCTGCGCAGTGTTGTGAGGGTCCGCCCCCGGGGCTCACTGCACACCCCCACACCGTGCGGGCACAGCTGCAGAGAGGCGTCTGAGGGGTGCTGGGCAGGGCTGGGCCCACACCAAGGCTCCCCATCAGCACTCAGCCCCTTTCCGGCGCCAGGCCTGGCCCACAGGGCCCTGGACCCCCACAGACCCTACCTTGATCAGCTCCTTGAACCTGGGGTCTTCTCTGGACGTGGGGTCGATCATGGTGCGCTCTTCATTCTCCTCTGCAGGGACAAGAGAGGCAGGGGCAGCGTTTGCGGGGCGCAGCGGGGACGCTGGGGGCGGCCGACCCCCCCTTGCTAACAGGTGGATACGGAGAAGCAGAGAGCCTGGCTCAGCGGGGCCGCCCTCCACGGGGTGGACGCCCCAGCTGTGCGGGGCTGCCACCGACCCTCGTCCCCGCTGCCCAGGGCACTCCCGCGCGACAGTCACCAGCAGCCCTGGGCGGACCGCAGCCTGGACACAGGTGACAAGATCTACTGCGGGGAGCAGGCAAGTCACGGGGCCTGGGCCCAGCGCCCGGCTCCAGCTCCCTGTAACGCACGCCCTGGGCGTCAGCGGTGCTGGCTCAGGCTCGGGCCCCTGCCACCCACGGGGGAGACCCAGAAGGAGTTCCTGGCTCCCTGGCTTCCGCCTGGCATTTGGGGAGTGAACCTGCAGATGGACGGAAGCTCTCGTGTGTGTGTGTGTGTGTGTGTGTGTGTGTCTGTCTGTCTGTCTGTCTCAGATAAATACAGACTTTGTAAACAAGAGCCCTGTGAAATATGACAGGGAAAGCAGAGGGGGCGTGGGCGGCAGGACCCTGGGGAGCCCGGGCAGCCCTGGGCCCCGGCGTGGTTGGCAGCTGCACTTGGGGTTCGTCTCCTCCCCACAAGCTCCTGCTGGCCCAGGCCTGCCTGGGAACCCAGAGGGATGGGCCGGGGCCTCGCTCGGAGCCCGAGAGTCCACACTCGCTGAGCACGTCAACTGGGCCCCAAAACACACTTGCGGGGACACGTGGGGGCTGCGTGGGGTCAAGCACGAGCCTCTGGCTCCAGGTCCTCTGATGCGCTGACCATGGGGGCCTCACTGCCTGCGGGAGGCTGCCCCTCCAGGGCCGGCTCTCTCTCGGGGACGGCCACGGCTCTCCCCCGAGGGCACACCTTTCTCCCTCGGCTCCCACCCCACAGGCCACCATCCCCAGCCCTCCCCTCCCCCAGGAGCAGGTCCAGGCAGCTCAGGACAGCCCCTGGGCCCCATGGCCCCAGCAACACCACAGACCAGCTGGGCCTACACCCGCTGACCCTCCCTGCTCGGTCCTTCTTGCCAAAACCACGCAGAAGGCTTTGTCCACCCGCCCTTGGTCCACCTCGCCCGTGCCTCCTGCCGGGCACCGGCGCTGCCCCACGCGGCCCCTCCACGAGCTGCGAGTCCCACGGCGTCAGCCCTCAGCCGTCGGCTCCCCCACACCTGCAGGCGGGCACGCGCTTTCTCCTGCGCGTGTTTCTGAACATGACCGTGAGCTAAGAAGCCCGGCCGTCAATCGCCATCTGCCACGGGCACGACCCGGAGGCCTCTTGGAGGGAGGCCAGGGGACGCAGGGAGCCCACAGTACCTAGCTGGGTGTCCTCGGGGTGGACGTCCAGGGCGGCGGACATGGGCGAGTTGATGGCATTTTTTCCTTCTTCCTGCAGGTCACTCACTGTTGAGAAAAGGAGAGAGAGATCAGGGGAGGGCGGTGGGAGCAGAGACAGACGAGCTCCTGCTCTGGGCATTTAACAAACATTTCCTAAACAGCTCGGCGCCCGGCAAGGGTGCAGGGGAAATGCTGCAAACCGAAAATTTATTCCACAGTCTCAGTCCCAATTCCCTGCCCGTCGACTCTCACTGCTCCGTGGAATACATGACTTAGACACGGAAGCTTCCAGAAGCCTCCGGATCTACCCAAAGCTGCCACGGCAGACGGCTTAGATGACAGCAACGGAAACCGTGAAGGCAGGGCTGCCGCCCTCCCGGGGACCCGCGGCACTAAGACCCCTCCTGACACGTGGACGACCTGGAGCAGACCGGCCGGGGAGGACCCCGCCCAGTGCTGCCTGGGGGACCCCAGCCCCCTCTCGGTGCCTGTCTCCCCGCGCGGCATGAGTGGAGGATGGCAGGGCCCCCAGCGGGGCGAGAGAACTGATGAAAGCCAGGTGCCCAGTCTGGCCCCAAGCACACGATGGGCTTGCGGGCCTGGGTTGTGGAGTTGGCTCTCTGCGGACGACCGGCCCCCCACCGCCCGCCCCCCATCCGTCACAAGGACGCAGCAGCGGCCCCAGCACATCAGCAAAGGCGCGGACGCTCAGCTCCTGTGAAAGTGGAGCCCCGACCCTCGCGCGGTCAGAGCAGCGCCTGTCACAGCGCCCACGGACAGACGAAGGGCCAACGGGCGTGGCCCACCACCACCTCAAACCCTCTGCACCCAAAGAGCTCATCACCGAACCCCACGTTCCACGAAGCACTGGAAGTGAGCCAGGCGGGCACGACTAACCGGGAGGCGGGGCAGCAGGTGCCGGGGTGGGGACCGCGTTTCCGCCTGCAGGGTGCGTGGCTAGGAGAGGGCGGTGGCCGGGGCCCCGAGCTGGGAGAGGAAAAGCGGCCGAGACGGCAAATGGCTGGCGGGTGATGTGCACCTTACCACAGGGAGGGAAAGACAATGAAACACGGAGTCCCTCCCCGGCAGGGCAGTCTGGAGCCCACACTGCGGGGGGCCCCGAGTCGCCTGTGCACCCTGAGCCCTGGGCCAGCGAAGTTCAACACTGCGGCGGGGAGGCGGCGGCCAACCCGCACACAGGGAGCCGCTCTGCCCAGCGCCCTCAAAGCATTGCAAAGACCCCCACGGGGCGCCCAGGCGGGGGAAGCAGAGACCAAGTGACCGAGGGTTACCGACTCAGGGCCGCGGTGCGTGTCTGGCAGCACGCAGTCCCCAAAGGCGGCCAAGCCGAGGACGCAACACGGACTTCCCAGAAGCCGTCATGCACACGGCAGCCCTGAGGCCGGGGGTCTGGGGGCTCCTGGGCCTCCTCTCCAGGGCCGGCTCTCACGGGGGAGCCGTGCAGACACCCAGGAAGAACAGACCCAGGTGCCCAGGTGGACTTCCCGGCACAGGCAAGCCAAGCAAGTAACTCCGGCCAGAAACCCCAGGGGGCAGATCCCGCAGCGGCTGCCATGCCACGTGGACATCCGGGTGCCTGGGCTGGAGCCCCAGCTCTGCCCCGGCTCCAGCTTCCTGGGGACAGGACCCTGGGAGGCAGCCGTGGCGGCTCCAGGTGCTGGGTCCCCGCCACGCACGGGGCCTGGGTGCACTCCTGGCCCCCAGAGCTCACCCTGCACGCGACCCGCACGGGCACCTCTCATGTGGCCTACAGGACGTCTCCCAGGCGTCTGCCCATTTCACAGATGCAATCGGAGGCACCGCCTGGGACCCCACAGGCTGCCGGCGGCCGGACTGGGATCTGAACCCGGCAGCCTGGCTCCCCGTCCGTCTCTCCCTTCCCAAAACATAAATGATGTTTAAGGGTTTCAAAGAAAGCCCAGAGCCGACCCCCTTAACCTGGCCATCAGACCGGCAGCCGTGCGGCCGGGGCGGGGCAGCCGAGCCCGCCCGGCTGCAGATCACCGAGGGGGCGGAGGAGAGAGCATTTTCAAAGCCTGCAAACTGGGTCACGTCAAAACAGAAATTTCCACACGGCCTTGAACATCAAAAATAACACCTAACGGGCCAGGTCCTGGGCGACCTCAATGAGGCCCTGTCGGGGCAGAGCCACACAGGGTGCCGTGGGACGCAGCCCCGGCACGGAGGCCCCGTGTCCCCAGGGCCCCCCGAGGACCTCAGCCCACCAGTTCAGGGGCCTCTGTGACCCCCAGGGACGTTTGGTTTGAAAACACCAGGGAGACGCTCAGCCTGGAGTCCCAGAGGACTGGGTGCCCGCGGGCGGGGGCGAGGGGGGCGGGGCTCGGCTCCGGGGTCACGGCAAAGGACAGCGGCCAGCTCGCGCCGCCCCAAGTGTCCACCTCTGCCCACACCAGCCACGAGGGGAAGGGAACCGACGCCCGGCGTTCCCGCTGTGTCACCGCTCACCGTACAGCACCGGGGCTGGAGACAGGTGGGGGGCGGCAGAGGCAGGAGGGGCTGGGAGAGGAGAGAGGGAGGCCAGGGCGGTGTCCGGTGGGACGGCCCCCGTGCCACGGCGGCGTCCCTGCGCACAGCCACTCCTCACTGCTACAGGCGACCACGGCGGCGTCCCTGCGCACGGCCACTCCTCACTGCTACAGGCGACCACGGCGGGGTCCCTGCGCACGGCCACTCCTCACTGCTACAGGCGACCACGGCGGGGTCCCTGCGCACGGCCACTCCTCACTGCTACAGGCGACCACGGCGGCGTCCCTGCGCACAGCCACTCCTCACTGCTACAGGCGACCACGGCGGGGTCCCTGCGCACAGCCACTCCTCACTGCTACAGGCGACCACGGCGGCGTCCCTGCGCACGGCCACTCCTCACTGCTACAGGCGACCACGGCGGCGTCCCTGCGCACGGCCACTCCTCACTGCTACAGGCGACCACGGCGGGGTCCCTGCGCACGGCCACTCCTCACTGCTACAGGCGACCACGGCGGTGTCCCTGCGCACGGCCACTCCTCACTGCTACAGGCGACCACGGCGGGGTCCCTGCGCACGGCCACTCCTCACTGCTACAGGCGACCACGGCGGGGTCCCTGCGCATGGCCACTCCTCACTGCTATAGGTGACCACGGCCACGGCCAGAGAAGCTGGAAAGGCGGCTTTGTGAGGCCATGATCGCAATGCTGGGTGCAGACAAGTCACCAGGCTGCGCCCAGCCCCCTGCTGACCCCTGACCTGGGCACCTGCCACGGGAAGGGCACCTTCCTTGCTGTCCATCCTCTCCGCCTCCGAGTCGGGCTATCAGGAGTGGCAGGGCTGGTGGGACATGAAGCCCGTGGAGCTGTCGCCCCAGGACAGAACTCCACCCTCCCAGGGGCCTGCGCTTCCCAGTGCCCACACCTCCTCCAGGAAGCCCTCCCAGGTACATCCCTCTCACCGCCAGCTCAGTCTGCCTGCATCATGTCACACAGCCTTGTAGCTACCTCTCCACCAGTGCTAACTCCACCCCCGCACACAGTAGGTCTGTGAATATACCGGAGGCCCCAGAGCCAAGTGTCAGACCCCAATTTGTCTATGGACAGGCTGCGCGATCTTGGCCAAGCTCCATCATCTCTCTGTGCCTCGGTTTTCATCTATGAAATGGGCGTGCACCCGGGACAGATGACGAAGACGGAGCAGGACTCGAACCCGCAGCAAGCAGGAAGCCCTGGGTGACTGGCAGGTGTTGGAGTTGGGGTCGGGGGGACAGCCGGCTCTGCGCGGGTTGCCAGGGCTCGGCCTCGCTGTCACGCCACCCACAGACGGAGCGGGGTCTCAAAACAGAGACAAAAGCGCCGGCCCCCGCCCGGAATCGCAGTGGACGTGGGGCCCTGGCGTCCTCGACGGCGTCCTCTCCGTGGGGCCCTGGCGTCCTCGACGGCGTCCTCTCCGTGGGGCCCTGGCGTCCCCGACGGCGTCCTCTCCGTGGGGCCCTGGCGTCCCCGACGGCGTCCTCTCCGTGGGGCCCTGGCGTCCCCGACGGCGTCCTCTCCGTGGGGCCCTGGCGTCCTCGACGGCGTCCTCTCCGTGGGGCCCTGGCGTCCCCGACGGCGTCCTCTCCGTGGGGCCCTGGCGTCCCCGACGGCGTCCTCTCCGTGGGGCCCTGGCGTCCTCGACGGCGTCCTCTCCGTGGGGCCCTGGCGTCCTCGACGGCGTCCTCTCCGTGGGGCCCTGGCGTCCTCGACGGCGTCCTCTCCGTGGGGCCCTGGCGTCCTCGACGGCGTCCTCTCCGTGGGGCCCTGGCGTCCTCGACGGCGTCCTCTCCGTGGGGCCCTGGCGTCCTCGACGGCGTCCTCTCCGTGGGGCCCTGGCGTCCTCGACGGCGTCCTCTCCGTGGGGCCCTGGCGTCCCCGACGGCGTCCTCTCCGTGGGGCCCTGGCGTCCCCGACGGCGTCCTCTCCGTGGGGCCCTGGCGTCCCCGACGGCGTCCTCTCCGTGGGGCCCTGGCGTCCCCGACGGCGTCCTCTCCGTGGGGCCCTGGCGTCCTCGACGGCGTCCTCTCCGTGGGGCCCTGGCGTCCTCGATGGCGTCCTCTCCGTGGGGCCCTGGCGTCCTCGATGGCGTCCTCTCCGTGGGGCCCTGGCGTCCTCGACAGCGTCCTCTCCGTGGGGCCCTGGCGTCCTCGATGGCGTCCTCTCCGTGGGGCCCTGGCGTCCTCGATGACGTCCTCTCCGTGGGGCCCTGGCGTCCCCGACGGCGTCCTCTCCGTGGGGCCCTGGCGTCCCCGACGGCGTCCTCTCCGTGGGGCCTCGCCTGGTTCTCTGTGTCCGGGAGCCACTGAAAGGGGCTGCGGGTGGCTATTCTCCTCCTTCCGCCGCGATCCGGACACCGCAGCCCGGAAAGGCGCAGGGAGCACAGGGCAGGCGGGGGCCAGGCCGGGGACCAGGGCGGACCCCGGCAGACGGGCACCGGCAGTTCGGGGCATGGGGTGGGTGGGGGCTCGGTTCCCAGGGTGGCGCCCACCCAGCCCACACCACACACATTCCCCGGCCACGTGC